TGGTAGGTTAGTTCTTTTGTAGGGATGTGCATCAATGGATCTGCCAAGTTAATTTTTGCAAGAGTGCAAATTAGTCAGGAAGGGATGAGTGACTATGCAGGCTCATGGGTTACACTGATCCCCAAAGGAGGGACATAGCTCTCATATCTCTTTAAATGCCTCAATTTCCCCCAGGGCAGCATGCATAGGCAACTTCATATTGTTTGTCTTCTCTGAGCCATTTTAGCCTGTAGAGAAGTGGTCCAGGATGTAGCAGAATAAAAAGTATGTATAGTTCATGTCTTTACCAATCCACACACTGTCTTGCTAAAAAAAAAATATTCTACATGGATTATTAGTAAAGAACAAGGTGTTTACTCTTTGTTATACAGAGTAACATATATACAGTCATGTGAACAGTTGCATTGACTCACACAATGTTCTTCTGAGAGAGATTCAAATGGTCCTTAGGTGTCCAAGTGAGGGATCTTCTTCCAGCAGCTCAGAAGAAAAAAATGTAAACTGACTTGGTAAGCTCCCTGCACAGAAAATCTAAACATGCAACTGTTGCCAAAATTCCCAGGCTCAGATACCCTCTCTGGCATGACCCAACCAATCAACTTCATGCTTTGCATTTTTCTGTTAACACACTCATCAACTGATTTTTATGTGCTTTAGCACAGGGAGCAAAAACTTAGCAAAGATATGCTCAGACTATCAAATCTACCAGAATGGGTAGAAATTTGTTTTCCCGAATTAAAGAACAGGTGACTGCTCCAAAAGGACATTTGTACACTTCCTATTTAAAATAGGGGCTGTGCTGTAGCTCTTCCCTCAATCCAAGCCCTAGCTTCATAGTGGGACCACCCACCCACCCTGGAATGATTAGAGCATATCACTATTCGGAAGCCATTTCAGAAAGAGTGACAACCTGCCAGCCTCTCTTCCAAAAGAAGCTATTACAGTCACATGTCTGTTTCTAATCTAAATAAGAACAGAACACTTTTCACTCGTGGGAGATGTCTACAACCAAGTGTCCTGTGTGTCTGCCTTTTTGATGCAGGTGTTTGTGGTAGAAGGGAAGCTTCCACAATCCTGTTCTCTTTCCCTTTTTATGATTCTTTAATGATAAACCGAAGCCAATCAGACTGGGCTTGTTTGCACAGCCTTTTAAATACAGAATTGTGCTCTGTTTTTAAAAAGGCATAACTACAGTACCATTTATGCACCAGAAATCACGTGTTTCCTTCCTTTCCATGCATATCTACCCATTTGCATTTGTTTTGAGTTACTAAGGCAAGAAAGGTTAATTCCTGCTAGCTGCAAAACACCTTCTTAACCGCTTAAGCAAGAGGCTGATTTAAATGTTTCTTTTGACAGAAATCTAAGCTCTGGTTGTTTTCTAATTTTCCGGCTAATTTCAAATGTTTGCATGAAAGTTTTCATTGTTATGGTCCCTAAGCCAGTTTGCCTTATCATTTATTGATATAGCCTCGCTTTTACAGATAGCTTTGCTGCCACACAATTAGTACCTTGCCATGTTATTTATTAGCTAATTAAATGGCAGGCCATTCAAGTGCGTTCTTCCTGTGGATCCCAAATTATTTTTTAATCCCACTTCTGTATTTCTGGCCCCTGTTTGTACAAAGTTGTAAAAACAAAAGCAATCAACAAGGCTGGAATCGTTGTGGTTCTCGTGTGTCGGTTCTTTAGTAGCAGCCATTAAAGTGTTTGTGGAGTGGAGCCAAACCATTGACTAGCCAAATAGCATATATTTTACAGCGTTAAATGTGCCCTGCTATTTATTTTACTGGAATAACTGCAGAGTAGGTTTCTTGAGACACCGCAGTGCTTTCTTTTTAGAAAGTCAAAGTCTCCCATTCGCAGGCATGTGCCTAACTTTTTCCTTGGGTTGCAGGGAATTAACAGATTTAAAACTCATTTGCCTTCAAGCTGAAAACAAACAAGAAGGAACCTGCTGAGAGACACCTGTTGTACATTTTCCCCCCATTTCGCCTACAAAGCACTGACTAACTTCATGGACTTCAGAGTTATCTCCAGATGTTTTAGGACATGCGTGAGAGTTCAGACTGGAGAGTGGAGGCACATCTGTTATGTCTCTGCATATTTCAGCTCCAGAACCTGGAAGGTTGTGTTTTAAAGTAATTAGTTACAGTTACCATTCTGTGGACAGGATTCAAAGGGCAGTTATAGTTGCATTTCCCAAATAAATTCTATACTTTGTAGTTATTCTGAAAGTAAAAAGACAATTACTTTTAATTATTTTAGCTAGTTATCATTGTGGTTGTATTTCTAAAAAAAACATTTCCTACTGCCTAGTAATTCAAAAGTAATAAATTACTTTTAATTATGCCATATCTACAAGTTTTTTGGCCTCTTTTCCCTCTTTGAGATGGGGTCCGCCAAGCACTATCACACGATGCTGGCTTGGCCCCATCCTATTCATCCCAAAGTGAATGCTTTCTAGACCAAGACAGAGAGATAAGTGGGTTTCGAGTAGCTCCAGTGGAGCTACCCACATTTTCCCCATCTGATGGGGAAAGGCCAATAGAGCAACACACATGGCTGCCCTTTTCCCCATCTGATGGGGACAGCGCACCAATGTGCCTTGTCCCATTGTCCCCCTCTGATGAGGGAAGGAGGGAAGACATGCAGGGCACCCCGAGGCATCCTGTGTGTCTGCCATTTCACAAGCAATTGTCAGCAAAACGGAGGTTAGTCTTTAAGGAGTTTCAAGGCCTCAATTTCTTGTTCAAAAAGTAACCAAATAATTGTTTTCAGATATTATTTATAAAAAATGTTGTCAGACTGCATCAAGCTACTCTAGTGCTGCAGGCCAGAGGGAGTTTCCCAGATAATTCCAATTCCCTCACATTCTGCAAATCCCAATATTTTGTAGGGTGGAGCCATGGCTGTTAAAGTACAATAAGACCTCCATATCTTTGGGGGACATATTCCTGGCCAGGCTACAAGTATCTAAAACCATAGATATGATGAAACACCATTAAATTACCCAATTTCTAATCCCAGCATGCCACAGGGTGAATTTACACTGTAGAATCAATGCAGTTTTACACCACTTCAACTGCTATGAATGCTCCAGAAACTAGGGAATTAAACTTTTACAAGGTATTTAGGCTTCTCTGACAAACAGTGCTGGTGCCTTGCCAAACTACAACTCCCATGATTCCATAGCCATGAGCTTTGGCACTCAAAATTGTGTCAACTGAATTGATTCTACAGTGCAGATAATGGAGGACCTGGAGCTTACTGGGGAGGTATCCTCTCTAGAAATTTGCTAGAGGTACACTCGTGCAGAGGCATGCCATATAATTGTCTGGAGGAGCTAGCAAATTTCTAAAGAAATCATTTATCCCCAGGTATAGGTAAATGAAACGGTGAGTATTGGTTCTGTGGTTACTTATTCTGCTTTCTTGCTTTACATTTGTTTCTGAAAAAGAAAACAAAAATGTATTTGCATTTGCAGTCATTTGTTTTGTTTTTGTTTTTAAAAAAAGCTGTACTGGATAATGAAGCTAAAGTTGTGCCTATTTCTATCCATTTCAATGTGTAAATAAGGATGCAAATATATTCATATTTTTTTAAAAAAATCATTCCGAATCCTTGCGGATACAGCTTTTGACGGGAACAAATGTATTCAAACTTAATGAAAAGATTATGTCTCCTTTTAGCAAGACAAATTTCAGAGATATTTTCCCCTTTGAGAATATCCAAAAGATGAAAAGATTTTTTCTCTTTCAATTCTTTTAGCAACAAAGAGAGGTGAGCATGACAACAGTCTCAGTTTTAACCAGGGTCCTCGTGCATACTTTATCTTGCCAATCAAAACAGCAGGGCTCCATAAAATGACATCAGCCTCTCAGAAGCTTTTGTCTAGTTCTTTCCAAAGTAAATGGAAAATAATCAGACCAAGGTATTGCAAGATTTGCTAAGGCACACATGATTCTCCTACCTGTCCTTTAAACAGGTATTAAACAGAAAAGGTTTCTAGGGGGATGAGGTGTCCCAAAAACATGTCACAAAGTGGCCTTGTTGGGTAGGAGATTCCAAGCTTAACATGAGGAGTGAGCAAAGTATGTTCCTACACATGTTTTTGGATAGAGATCCCTATCATCCCTAACCAGCATGGTTAGCGATGAGGGTTGATCTGGTATCTAGAAACATATGTAGTTGCCATCACTATAGTGAAGGCTATCCACTAACACTCTTGCAGCAACCAAACATCAGGTTTTTCGAGATGATGCATTTGAAGAGGCAGGACCAAACTCAATGCTATGGGGTAACTATGACTAGAGCTATCTCTCCTCTTGATCTCACTTTCTCTTAATCTTCCATCCCTCCCTCCCTCTCTCTCTCTCTCTGTCACACACACACACACATTGCTCAATAGATAGATAGATAGACTGACAGACAGGCAGACAGAAAGATAAATATGGAACATTTGTACCATTTGAAGAGTTTTGATGTTTGTTTTAATTGGCAGTGTTTGTTGATTTTATTAATCTTTGCAGTTCTGTTATTGTATGGGATTGCATCAGGTAATGTTGCTTTAGTAGGCATTTTGCCTTTAAAGATAACCTAGCAATATTTTATCTAGATACGTGCGTACTATACAGCACACCGTTGCTTTCATTTGTATTTACTATTACTATCTTCCTTTTCTTTGAAATAAAAAAAACTGTAAAGATGGTATCAAGGAAGAAATGCAGGTAGGAAGGAAAACATGTTTACAGAAGCTGCTCATGGATTGGGGAATGCCTCTAACCACCATTTCAGTATGGAATGCTCTCTTCCCGGTCTATAAGACACCACCGTTTGTCTTAGTTACATCCTTCTAGTGGTGGTTGCTGTGGCCTCAACAGAGTTGTGTTATATAATATTCTTTTATTCAAACCCAAATTTACTTCTTCCCTCCCCCATGTCCTGTTTTTCCCTTTCTTTCCCCCTCTCCCTTTTCTTTCGATGCTTCTCCACTCCAGATAGTTCTAAACTGCAAAATGCTGGTCGCAAGCAATCTGTCTCAAGAAGCCTGAAGCATCTGTTCCATTCTTCAAACAAGTTTGTAAAGACTTTGAAAAGGTTTGTTTGATGACAACAGATTTTACAGTTGGAACTCCCAAATGCATCTCTCTTATATAATTTGAAGTCTGTTCTCAGAAATTCTGTAGCACTCGGAGCCATAGCTATAAGCACTGCAGGGTAGCAAAGGATCCCTTTGGAATATTCTGGGATGTTCTGCCAATTTTCAACTTTTGGCCTAGACAGCATGCAATCCTATACATCAGAAGGGAGAATCCCTCGGCCTTCCAGATGTTGATGGATTGCAAGTCTCCATGTTTCTCACTACTGGAAAGGGCTGCTGGGAGTTTCAACCCAGCAGCATCTAGAAAGCCACATGGTCCCTATGCCATGTGTTACATGTCTCCTCTGAAACAAATGTCATTGAGACGAATGGAGTTTCTGCCCAGCTAAGCCTACATACACTAAATCTGCAATCTACACACACATAATTCTGCTCTCATGCTGTATAATATGTATCATTAAATAGCTAGCAACAAGTCCTTATAAAAAACAGACTCTGCTTTTTCCCTGCAGTGAAAGTTATTAACAGTCGTGGAAAGCATATTGTGCAGGCAGCTGTTTTACCTGCAAGCTCAGAGGTGGGCTAATGTTATCGGCTATCCTCTATCCCAGAAACTACCTACCTCTGCATCTCAAAACTTAGGTCTCTGTAAAGGAACATTATCCATGCTGCTGGATTATGTCTTCTTTCATCACCAAGAGAGTTCAGCTTGACCTTTTTTCTTCTTCTTTGGTTTTTTCCAAAGAGGTCCCTAGAGGTCCTCCAATTCACTAAATCCACTGGTTAATGTATTAACTAATTACAAATGTAAATATTTTAAAGATTTTGTGTAAACAGTGCTACAGATATGCTGAACAAAATGATGCTCTGTTACACTCATGCAAATCCAAAATAACCCCATTGATTCAAGTGGACACAACACTGAGGCATATTGCAGTAAATCTCAGAGTGCCGTGATTTATGGTCTTCACGTCATGACCAGGAGAGCTCTTGGAAGCTAATGAGTGAGACTAAGCTGTTTCTCAGTGAAAGGATCATTGGAGAAGGGAACAGCTTGCCCACCCAGAAATTATCTTCCCTCGCAATTCTTTTGGAACGTATACTGAATGTGTGTGGTTCAAGACTGAGATGGTTCCAGGAACTGATATCTTCATTCTTCTTTAAAAAAAAAAAGGAATGTTTTAATAACAAAATGAATGGAGTAACAAACAGGCTGGGTTTTCTCTCGCACATCCCACAAACCAGCCTCATCTCAAAATCTAATGCAAAATATTGAAGGCACATGCACAGTGTTCACTTTTGATTGGAAAAGACAAAAAAGTTTAATCATGTGCTGATGTTTGCCCAACCTTTTTTAAAAAAAACTGTCATGGGTTGTTTTGCTTCAATAAGGAAGGCAGCACCAATTCTGGCATTCTTGAACACATTTTGTAGTATTGGCTGGAACCTGGTGTCATGACATTTCAGTGAAATTTTTCCTCACAGAAGCAATTTTGTAAAATCGGTTGCTTTAGTCAGGGCTCATGCAGACAGGGCCCATAATGCGGGAGCAAAAGAGGAACATAATAACTCACTTTTACTCTACAATGCACAAATCTTTAACCTTCCCAGAGCAGCTTCCTAATTCCTGTTTTTCTCCTTCGATTGCAGAGGACTCTATTTAGCTGTGATATTTTATTACAAAGATAACATGCTGGTAACCAATGAAGATCAAATCCCAATTGTGGAAATTGATGATTCTCACACCAGTTCCATTATGCAAGATTTTCTCTGGTTCACAAAGGTACAGTTCTGGTCCTTTCCTCACATATGTAGACTCTTCAGCTGAGTCAGTGGAATAAATAATATGTCTCCTTTCTAGAGAATCAGTCATGCTTATCCTTACGTTGCATGAGGAAACTTCATCTGTTATGCCATAGATAGCATGTAGTAGACATGTTAACGTACAATCTTTTGTTGGATCTAAACTTCAATCGACCATGGCCAGAAAGCTCAGTGATCAGGTTGTCATTGAACAAGCTTTAGAGAACCATAGGTTGCCCACTTTTCCATGCCAAAAAATCAAAATCAGTGCAGCCAAATGTGGGAGAGCCAGTCAGTTTGCTTCACAAACTAGAATATGTTTGGGAACTCAGTGGAGCTCCTGACACATACCGAGGAAGGAGAAAGAATAGGAATAGTGGGAGGAAAAGTGCCCATGGACTTGTGTGATGTATTGCTTGGGTTGGAACCAAGCTAGACATCACCTGTGCTCAAACCCAGTGGTACCATAACTGCATGGAAACTATGTATGCATGCAAGGGGCGGGAGGGGGTCAGTCTGATGGTAACAAAGAAGACATGCAGTTGGGTAAAAGTGAATCTTCTCCATAACCTAAAAGTTCACCAGCCTTACTCCAGTTACCTGTGTCCATCTGGGCTCACATTTAGGCCCCTTCTACACTGCCATATAAAATACAGATTATCTGCTTTGAACTGGATTATATGGTAGTGTAGACTCAAATGATCCCGTTCAAAGCAGATTTGTTTATTTATCGTGTCAGAAGCAAAGCAGATTTATTTATTTATCATGTCAGAAGCAAATTGAGAAGGTTGGTTGCATAAGGCAAGTTGCTTCTGGCATGAAAAAATCAGCTGTCTACAAAGACATTGTCCAGGGGATGCCCAGATGTGTTACTATTCTGCAGGGAGGCTTCTCTCATATCCCCCTGTGGGGTGTCTGCTTTGAAAATCTGGGTTATATGGCAGTGTAGAAGGGGCCTTCGGACTATAACATGGATTCAGGGGAAAGGATTTCAGGTGATGAGTTGCTGAATCCCAAGGCAGTCATATGCCATTTTTTGTTCCTTGAATTAGATTTTAACACCAGATTGAAACAGATCTGGCTTTAAAATTAATGGATATTCTTCTGCCCCATCTAATATAGTCCCAAGGGCATAAAAGAAATGGGGGAGAAGAGAATTCAAGAGTCATGGAGAGATAAACCAGATAACTGAAGGTAATCCTGAAATGTAAATGAACTGGACCTGTCAGGGAGCTATAAACACCACTCCTATTCTTGAAGTTAAAATAAGGGGAAGAGGATAGATGTGCCCATATAAAGTTTATCTGTAAAGCAACATTTTCCATAATGCTTTACTGATGTTTCAGTAATGTATTCCATGCCTTCCTTTTTATCACTGTATCTAGAATGAAATTTCATTGGTCAAATGATTTTGATCTATCCAGAATTTGATGGAGGAAGTTACTTTTTATTGTTGTTCTAATTCAAAAGGATGCAATGGTGTAAATGTTATCAGTTTCACATTACTTTATTTGTTGAAACATAAATAGCCATAGGCATGACTAAACCGTCTTAGTGAAAGTGTAAGGGAAGAGCAACTGGCCAGTGATGTGTTAATTGTCAGAAGTGTCATGTGCAAATCGCCTTCCGACCTCTCCATGTTCCTTCTCATCACACTGACCAGGGATAGTTAGTGCACAGATGGGAGGATGCTGAGAAACCAATGCTGCTTATGTGAGTTGGGTGCTACATCTCTCTGCTTATTAGCTACCATCAACGTTTTGCTACCTATAGAAGCTGAAATGGACAACATCTCCTTTTGAGAAATACACATTCATTCTCTCTTTTTTCCCCATCTCCCTTTTTCTTTCTCTTCTCCACCTCTCCCTCTCCACGCTCCCCAATTACATTACATTTTGCAGCTGTCTTGCATGTGGGATGATATCAGATGGCTGAGGCAAAACATGTCTGTCTCTGTGTCCTCTTCTACCGTACTTCAAACCAGACAGAAAATGCTCTCTGCAACAGCCCAGCTACAGGTCAGTGGCACCTTATTCTTTTGGGTAGCAGGTTTAAGGAAGTTGATGACCTGAGAGGGAAAGAGCTGCCACTTGTCATCAGCTTCAGCACTTTCTCCCAGCACTGACTTATTCTCTGGGGGAGAATTATCATCTACTGTGAAGCAAGCAGTGGAGTCTGACACCCCAGCCAACGCTAGCACATCATCAATGCACCCTGAAGGAGGAAGAAATAGGCAGAGGAGGGAATTAAATGTGACATACCAAATACACACTAGTTTATCCAGAAGTATAGATTCAGCAAATATATGGCTTAGCAGATGGATCTTCAGATACTCCCAACACCACAATCCTTTGTCACTGGCTGACACCTTTTTTCACAATCCTTTCTGGTGCCTCTACACTAGTATAAGTTAACCTGTTATTTGCCTAGGGAATTAAGAAATATTATTTTTGGTCAGGAAATGACAAGTGTTGCAGGGGTGTGTATGAATGGATCCTGAACTTGTGACCTGAGTGATAAGAGGGGAAGAATTCAGCTGCCATTAATTTATTGCTAATGTTATATATCTTTACACTGACTTTAACATAAGGCAATTTTGTCAAAGGAATTTGCCATTATAATACAACACCCATATTGTGTTCCAACACAATTTAATACTTTTCATGTTAAGAAGTCCTTTATTTCAATGGGGTTTACTATTATCTATTGTTTGATTTTATTTTCATGTCAGAAGTGACTTGAGAAACTGCAAGTTGCTTCTGGTGTGAGAGAATTGGCAGCCTGTAAGGATGTTGCCCAGGGGATGCCCGGATGTTTTGATGTTTTACCATCCTTGTGGGAGGCTTCTCTCATGTCCCCGCATGGGGAGCCGGAGCTGACAGAGGAAGCTCATCCGCACTCTCCCCAGATTCAAACCTCTGACCTCTCATTCTTCAGTCCTGCTGGCACAAGGGTTTAACCCACTGAGCCACCGGGGGCTCCCATGCGAAGGACAAGAATGTACCCCCTGCAGATATAAGGCTCATACAATATCTTCTTCTAAAATTGAGTGGTTTTGTCTTGCCCAATGTCACCCTGTAGGTTTTCCATAGCTGAGCAAGGACTCAAATATTCATTTCTTCAAGCCCTAACCCAATACTCAAATCATTACAATATGTTCATCCTCCATTAGTGAGACATAGCCAAAGAAAAGAACTCTAGAGATAGTCCTGAAAGGACTTAAAAGAAACATCTAAATCAGGTCATTAGTATTCTTTAATCTCTTTTTTTTTAAGTCAATTTTCAGAACAGCCTTCATTGCTACTTTTTTATCAGCTTGAACAAGTTGCTTTTTGGACTCCAACTCTTAGAATTCCTTGCCATCATGGTTATTTTCCATAACATGGCATAGTTTTTAAAAGTAAGTTTCTGAGGGAGAGGCAAAGAACCTCACCTTTGCACCATTGTCCTACCTCATTCTGTCTTGTCCCGCCTCCTGTGCCATTTTAGAGGGCACTATTTTGCATGGAATACTTCTCAATCTTGGCATTGTTGCTATTCTTGTTATTATGTGCCTTCATTTCCAACCAATGGTGATGCTAAGTTGAATTTCTGACCTATAGTGATTCTAAACCAAAGCTATCATAGGTTTTCCTGGCAAGATTTGTTCAGAAGAGGTTGCCATTGCCTGTCTCTGAGGCTGCCTCCTACATGGCATAGATTAAAATACACCCACTACAAAAACACGCGCACACAGTGTCCCTACATATGCCCAGTTCTCCCCTTCATCCTTGCATACCCCATTTCTTGTTGTCCCCACCTCCCTCATTTTCCCTGAATCCAACACAAAGCACCAAAGATACTGCATGGAGGGTAAAGAAGAACTCTTGGAAAAGGAAAGAACTCAGAACAGAAATACTTCTTTGGATGCCAACCCCACGTTTTCTGTTAAGTTTCCATAGTTTTTCAAAGATATTAAGCTATGTGAAGCTTTATTCATGTAGAAGCACTGTAAACCAAAGTTTCCAAATCTAGTGGTGTCCAGGTATTTTGGAATAGAACTCCGATCTGCTCCAGCTTTGCTAGAAATGGTGGGAGGTGTAATCCTAAACTTTTGAACTGATACAGTTTGTGAAAGAACAGTATAAAAGTCATGTTTGTTTGTTTGTTTGTTTATTTACAGTGTTTATATTCCACCCTTCTCACCCCGCAGGGGACTTAGGACAGATTACAATGTACATATACATGGCAAACATTCAATGATAGTTAGACATACAATATATATAGACAGATACAGAGGCAATATGACATTCCAGCTGTGCCCAAGCTTTTCCAGCTTCATGAGGGTATGCTCGATTTCGGCTCAATTCTAGCCACAGGGGCCGCTGCTGCTTTACTGTCCATTGTGACACCGAGTCCTTTGATTGAGTACTTTCTCATTCTTCTGCATGCTACTGGAAGTTTTTATGGTGTCATAAATTAGTCAAATTAGCCTAGCCGCATAAAGCATTACCTAAATTTCCTACGTGACAGATGCAACTGTCTTTCGGGCTGCGTAGTTTGACAGCAAGCTAGACTAATGGCCAGAAGCTCACTCCAACCTGGGCTAACTTTGAACTCATGACCTCTCAGCCATTAGTGATTTAATGCAGCTAGCTCCCAGCTATCTGCACCACAGCCAGGTATATAGGCTTTCCCCATCTTCTGCATATTGGAGGTTGTGCTCAATTTCGGCCACAAGAGGCGAGAGGTGCCCCACGGGATGGAGAAGGAAGCCTTGTTCACAGACTTCCTCCTTTTTGATCAAGTCACCAACATTTTTCTGGGATTTTGTTATGGTACCATTACAATACCTCCACGCTAACCAGTACCTATTTATCAATCTTCTAGGTGGGCAGTGAGCTGGGCTGAAGGTTGGGCGCTCACCCCCGACCCAGATTTTGAACTGCCAACCTTTCGATTGGCAAGATTTATTGCAGATGGTGGTTAACCTACTGTGCTAAATCACATACATAATGTTGTATATCAGACATTATATGATCTGAAGAGAAACTAGAGTATTATACACCAGAGGTATAGAATATTTACAGAAGTTCTCTATTATACTATTACACGAAACTTGTGTGGAGGATGCCTCAAATCTTTATTTGCAGGGTTTTAGAAGCTTTGTAGTGGCAGCAGCGAGATGGCATAAGTGGGAGCGCTGTTGTGTGGGGGTTTAGCAGTTTTAGTTTCAGTAGAGCTAGAAGCTGAGTGTCAAAATATGACTAATCTGACTACTAGTAATATACTATTCAGATAAAATTCCAGAGAAACCCCATTTTACTTTGTATTAATGCCTATGTGCCCCCAATGAATTCAGTTCAGTGCGCCAAAGAGGTATGACAGTTTTTAGATACAGCCTTGGGAGGTAGGACTCCTGGCTTGGAAAATACGAACCTTGTATTGGGAGATTTAGTATATCAGAGGTACCATCCATAGCATGAGCAATAAATGCTATGATTAATCTAATTTTAGAAAATCCCACATTCACCTGGTGTCAAGTCATGTAACAGGCCTGCTTTGTTCCTGCTTTTTTACCCCTTAGGAGAGGTGGACATGATCAGGGAATCAACAGGCAAATTTTGGCCCTGCCATGTCCTTTGGGAACAGCCGCCTTCAATCCCAGTGGCATTTAGAGTGTCCCAAAGTCAATTCCAGTCACTCTGGGACAACTTGGGGTTGTTTTCTTTCTATTTGAATAGGTTGGGGGGGGGGATCCTTTAGGGTTATCATTGTATCTTCCAGATGGCATTTTTGGTGTGAAAATATGATTTTGTTTTCCAACCTAAAACATTTTTATTTGATGGGAGCCCTCACCCCACAAAGGCCATATGATTACCACAGTAGAGGAATCGTATTGATCATCATGTCCTTATAACCTCCACATGGTACAACACAGACATACAAAATCAAATAAGTCTGTCTGGGACTGAGCAAATCTTTACCAGCAGCAGAAGAGAAGAGGGCCCATAAGGATACAGAACGCCTACTGTGTGCATTGGATGGGGATGCCGAAAGCTAAAATAGCTACTTAAAGCCACTTCTAAATGGCAGTCACTGTGCTAGCTGTTCTGGCGTTCCCAAGTTATAAACAATTTTAATAATGCTGTTCAAAAGCAAATAGTGTCTGCTAAGTGCAGATAAGCCAGCGCAGGGTGGCTTTATCTATCAGATGAGAATGTCATTAAGGTTAATGCACAGCCCCTCAGCTTTCATACATGTACAAAGTGCCACATTGTCAATTCAGCCCCCCCCCCCTTCAAACAACTCCCACGCCTTATGAGCTTACTGTAGATCTTTTGAAAACTTCCAAAATAAGGAGCATATTTAAAATGCTAGGGATTTTTCTTTGAGACATCTGGGCATCTCTTCAGGAACTGATTGCTGTGAAGTCAGTCCATGGGCCCATATATGGAGCTGCCATTTGAAGGATAAGAAAAGCTGACTCGGGCCGGAGCACAAATCTCTCTTGCATCAGTTCGGAGTGGTACCCAAACAGGCTTCTCTAGGATACTTGCCAGGGATGATTTGACAAGTTTTTGTTTTTATTTTATTTATTTACTTTGTTTTTATTCTGCCTTCCTCCTGATATAGGGACTTAAAACAACTAACAATAAATAAAGCAAATTTAAAAGTTTCCCCTGACATTAAGTCTAGTTGTGTCCAACTCTGTGAGGTGGTGCTCATCTCCATTTCTATGCCAAAGAGCCGACGTTATCTGTAGAAAATCCAAGGTCATGTGGCCAGCATGACTGCATGGAGCGCCGTTATTTTCCCCCAGAAGCGGTACATATTGATCTACTCACATTTGCATGTTTTCAAACTGCTAGGTTGGCAGAAGCTGGGGCTAACAGCAGGAGCTCACCCCGCTCCCCAGATTTGAACTGCTGACTTTTTGGTCAGCAAGTTCAGCCACTCAGCAATTCAATCAGCTGCGCCACCAGGGGACTAACAATAAATATAAAACAATGCAAATTAAAACAATGTAAATGCATTATAATATTTCTATTTAAAAAGTATGTATGTTTGTCTGTTTCTACCACAAAGGCTGTTGCTAGGTGAAGTGGCCCTCTGTGATGTCCCTGGGAAAGAAAGGTGTCATGTGTACGAGGGGAAGGAAAAAGCCACAAAGAGAGCATGCCATTGAGACATTGTGAGAGAGAAAGTAGGCACGCAGCAGTCTCAATGACACAATATAAAACACAGAAAAGCAGCAATATAAAACAATATAGAAGAGCAACAATATGAAACAGTATAAAACAATTGGCATACAGATCTTACCTGTTAAAATTCAATACCGATATGACAGAGAATAGCATCAAAAGTAAAATTATTTAGCTAAGATCATCAATATAGTAATCAGCTGCAATATATGCAATAAGTTTAGTATGAATTTTCACTTCTGCCAAAACAAAAAGCGAAACCTTGTGAATTACCATAGAACTGGTTCCATGCAGGAGATAAAAAAACATTTCTTTAGTTTGGAACTCCAGTTCATTACTGACACTCAAGGAAGCAACCACAGTAACAGTTAAATCAACATCTGTGTGTGTTGTGATACTGAATGCTCCAATGTGCCAGGCTACTAGGACGTGATGACTTATTGATGTGAACTAACCCACCCTTTCCCAGTCTGACTGTCTGCAGATGTTTTGGATTACAACTCTTGCTTGCTCAGTCAACACAGCCAGAAGTTAGAGATGATGGGATTTGTCACCCAAAATATGGAAAGCACTCAGTTAGAGGATGCTGATGTAAACCATTCATCCAGATGCTAGTGAGCCATCTAAACAAGAGTTTTTCTTCTTAGCTGCACTAAGATATAAATGGAGGATGTTTCAGATGATCTCCATGTTGAATTAATTCTCTTCCCTTTGAAACTCCTATTACCATCTGTGAGTAGAGATCTAAGCCCATGGATGTGATCCAGTTCCATTAAAAGTCAGAGGGAGTGTCGCCATTGATTTCAGTGTGATGTGATATTGGAGCCTATGGCAGACTAGTTTTCACTTGCTTTTTTTTTTCTTTTACCACACAATTTTTTCTTTCTGTTTGTCACTTGATCAGCACTAATACAGTAGAATGGGAAGGGTCTTAGCACTTTATCCTACTGACATGCAAAAGTGTAAGTTCACCTTACAATGTGTTTGTATCCAGTTCTTTTTCAACATGGAAGTTGGCATTCTCTTCTGACCTCTTCAGTAACCCCCCCCCCCACCCACCCAGAATGCTATGAAACATCTCCTGGATGGGAATTCCATGTTTAAAGAACATGAGGAATTAGAGAAGCATTTATCTGTGCCCCATATCCAGACAAAGAACAAGGAAATATTCCACTGACACATGGGAATCTCAAGGGAAGATGCCAGTGGTTTGCATTGGTCATGAGATAATCATTCAAGGAGGGTTTCTTAGCAAAGCCCTAAGTCTTGGGGATTGTAAGCAGGGGGTCTTAACAGAGGTCCATCTACAGAACTCTTATGCTACACTGGGGAATGTGGATTTTCAACCACTACTTGGTAGCGATGGCAAATCTCAACTTTCCCACTAAATGTCAAGAACAATGGAACCATTTTTCATCCTGTAGTTTTGGGTTACCAGCAAATGCTGAGAAACTGTGTGGCGAATGCTATAGTTTTCCAAAACCACACAACTTTCAGCACAGAAAGCTGATCATTGGTTTTATTGAACTGTACTTTCTGCACTTCCATGGCATTGGCTGACTACTGAGATAGCTTATGGTATTAAAAGTTCTGATCTTCTCCTACCAATGTCTCAATGTTGTCTTAATTCCCATAGAATCTGCTGGGGACACACAACTTGGGCCGTGTCTATTATGAACCAATCAAGGACCGGCATGGCAACATTATCATAGTTACAATAAGAGAGGTGGAGACTCTCTATTCCTTTTTTAATGGCAAATGGATGCAGATCTCCAAGCTACAAAGCCAGAGAAAATCCCTCTCAACGCCAGAAGAGCCAACAGCATTAGACATCCTGCTCATTACAATCCAGGTAAATCTGTGGTTCTTTGTGTATGCAAAACCTTTGAAATAGCCAAATGCTTCTTTTGATGGAAAGGCCCTTTCTGTAAGTAAAATCCAGCCTGTTTACAAACCTGCTGTAGCCCCCAAGGAATGTGATAAATGTGGAGATTTGGAGATGTTGGTGGCTTATGGGATCTGAGGAAATATTCCATTTTGTATTTGAGTGAGCCATTCTTCTTTTCGACCCCCCCCCCTCTCTCTCTCTCTCACACACACACACACACACACACACACACACAACTAGATTTTGAACTAGTTGCTTCTGGAGGCTATCGTCTACCAAAACCTTCCAGGCAGCATGGTCAATGGATATGTACAATCCAAAAGATACATTTGCCAGGCACTGTAAAAACAAAACAATGGGACATTTCCTTCACAAGGCAGAAAAAATCATGGACTTTAAATTTGATCTCCTAACAGTGGTTCCCAACCTTTGGTTTTCGAGATGTTTTGGACTTTATCTCCCAGAAATCCCAGCCATCTTACCAGCTGTTGAGAATTTTGGGAACAGAAGTCCAAAACACCAGGAGGGAGCCACTGTCCTCACAGATGAATTGACCTGCTTCTGCTCTGTGTCAGTTTCTCTTTGTGTTCATTCATTTGATCCAGTTAACTGCATATAAGAACATTAAGTCCAATTTCTGCATTGGTCTGTGGCTTTATAAAAAGAGAACAAAACACATTTTAGATCTGTGGTTCTTAACCTGAGGGTCCCCAGATGTTTTGGCCTTCAACTCCCAGAAATCTCCCAACTGGTAAACTGGCTGGGATTTCTGAGAGTTGTAGGCCAAAACACTGGGGACCCACAGGTTGAGAACCATGGTTTTAGATAATTAACATCTGCATTTTTGCATGTGACTTTTCTGATAAGCATTTTTATGCAACTTTCCATAATATATTTTTGTATTCAGTCCTTGAGCAGAGTGCTATGTTCAGAGTGCCCTGAAGAAAAATTGGAGGATAACTATGTTCTGGTCCACATATCAGTCCAGAAAGAAAAGATGGAGCTAGGCCAAAAATAATGCTCCCTCCCTTGTTAGGTATAGTCCAAGTTAATTGAACTCTGTTCCCATTAAAATAATGGTTTTCCAGTTAAGGTCTTAAATTAACTTGCCTTCCTGATTCTGGTGGAACATAATCCAAACTAATTTTATCTGGACCCTCATAAGACCTTATAAAAGTTCCAGGCAAACAAGCCAAAGAAAAGATTCTAAGGCAAAGAGTTAGGGAGAAACAGATTGGGCTCTTCAAGGAACAAGAAGGCACCCAAGTTATCCAGTTCAGCTGCCAACAGGATAATATTGCTAGACAAATCAATAGAACCCAGAAATGAGCTATTCATCCACAAATAGCAAGAGTAACCATGGCACTAACAGTCAAGACCAGCCAAGGGATTCGGTCTTCCTGACATATCATGATATTATGTCCCTTTCTTCTTCAGCAGGTCCTGCTTTCCACATAGCTGGTTTAACCTGAAATGCCAAACTGGGAGAGCAAATGCAGACAAGCTCTGGTACCAGAAACCCGAATAACTCCCTGGCTTAAACTGAGTCCTGCCTATGTCTCCCTCCAACCCAGTGATTCTAAATTAACTATTGCAAATATTAATCTCACCAAGCCATTTCACTACAAAATGGCTCCAGAGAAGCCAGTTGAACTAATAAGAAGTAAGTGCTGCAAATCAACAGTTAATAATAACACCCTCCCCCATTTGTTTTTTATATATATTTGCCTCATTTAAAATATGTGCATTAGATTATGGAAAACCTATCTGTGCAATCCTTGCATCATAGAAATGTATTTACAGGTTATAAAAAAGGAAGCAAATTTGAGCATATATAAAGAAATGCAGGTCTAACTGAGTTGCTACCAGCAATCTGTTAAGGGAACTGGCCTTACCTTCTGCCCTAACAATTTGTGCATTCTTATCAGGGTCCTAACTTTCATGATGGGGTTGTTGAATCATCAAGTGGAAAAGATCTCACTGCACTCTGAAGTGACAAGTATAGCAGTGGCAGATAACGCCATGGTTCCAGTCGAGAAAGTATGGATTCAGGTGTCTTATGGATAAATCAGGGAGATATTCACCTTCATGCAGAACTTGATATAATTAGGGAAATACTTAAGAAAGAAAAGAAAGGAAGGGAGAGAAGAAAGGAAAGGAAATTGCCCCATTCATGTTTACATTATTTTCTTCTAGAAAGCATGACAACACAGGCTGCCTATCAGGACTCTTTCTCATCATGAAAGTCATATGTTGAAAAATAGGAAGCAGCTTCTTTTAGATAAGTACTATATTGACTGGTTCCAGTCCCTGAGCCATTGGCTGCCAGTCTGTGGTGAGCTTCCAAGAGAAAAATAAACATTGTACCCAGTGGGTATATATATATACACACACACACACACTTTTGTGTGTGTGTGTATATAGTGTCAGGAGCAACTTGAGAAATTACAAGTCACTTCTGGTGTGAGAGAATTGGCCATCTGCAAGGACATTGCCCAGGGAGCACCTGGATGTTTGATGCTTTACCGACCTGTGGAAGACTTCTCTCATGTCCCCACATGGAAAGCTATAGCTGACAGATGAAGCTCACCCCACTCCCCAGATTTGAACCACCAACAGTTTGGTCAGCAATTCAGCCAACACAAGGATTTAACCCATTGTGCCATCGGGGGCTCTGGCACAAATATGGTGCCAGTCCACCCATGCCAAATTGCTTAAGTAGCACTGTCATAGATGACTATTTTTATTCTGGTTTGACCAGAATCACTAGACATGGACCTATTACAATGCAAATGCTTTTCAATCACAGCAAAGAGGAGTAGCCAGCCAATACTTTGTGTTTTGGAAGGTTTCTATAGGGTTCTGAATGCTTCTGCCCCAGCTTTTTCTGAGAGGTAACATATTGAGCTGTTGTGAATAGGTCTGGGAATAGGGTCTTTGGATAAGAGATTGAAATGGCTATTTGCAGTGGGGTTTTCAAAATCCCAATGTCCATTATGTAAAAGGTCTTGTTTGTGCTCTTGATTGATTGCTGATGTACTCAGTGGTGACACTTCTAGATCACTACCACTGGGTGGCATCAAAGACTCACGCACTCACTTGACTGTCAGTGCCATCTCCTGGCATCACTACCAAGTGGCATCAGAGAAAAGTCTCATGTACTAATCTGGCTGATATATCCAGGTGCCAAGAAGTCTTTGAAGAGAAGTCCATTTACTCCTTTGCAGGAACCACTCCAGGCAACCAAGCACCAAAGGAGGTCCTAGTTGGCACCCTTCAGGCATCCAAGTGTTACACTTGCACAGAAGTCTCCAGTAGTCTTCAAGGGCCCATGGAAGTGAGAGAAGTATTGCCAAGGACTGAATTACAGGCTGTGTTTTACCTATTAGCAAATATAGGGGATGATCTCATCTATTCTTTTCACTATGAAGCAACTGCTGACTGATTTCAGCTGTTTTAGATAAGAGTTGCGGGTGAAAACAGTGTATGTTTTCCAAGTAGAAAAACATGCAAACTGTACATAATATTTAGTAAAACACTTGAAACATACTTAATTTTGAAGCAAAAGAAATTCATCTTGAAATTTAGGGTATTGGTCATTATAAAGGATTGAGGAAAATACATATTGGGTTTGCATTTTGATGCTAGCAAACCTATTGCTCTTTCCCCAAATGAAACCATTAAAAATGTAGCATTGCTCAAAAGCCTACATTCTCAAACACCGTGCTCAAGATAATCAGTTATGAAAAATGCACAAAAAAGTACCTGCATTGAAATAAAATTGGGTGGATAATTTGGTGTCAGGGAAATGTCTACACCAAAATATTCTAGCCTAAGGAGGGATGTTTATGGGTGTGCATTTTTTAAAAAAATGTTCATTAGAATGGGTATATATGGAAAATTGCATACATGTATTTGGAGAAATGCATCAAAAAACCACATGAACTTTCTTGTAGTGTTTTTTTTTAAAAATCACAGATCAATGTGGAAATGGGACTTAACAAATCTACCTGCCTATTTCACTGTCCTATACCACTTAGTTCACATCTGCAGTACTCTCACATTGTGTGAATAAATGTGTGGATTGGTTCCTAGCAATTATGCATAGCAGAAACTACTTTTATTGCTTCATTCAAAAGTTCAGTGTGAGCACAGCCTTGAGACAAAATCTACTCACAGTTTAGGTTGGAATTCTTCTCTCCCTGAGAAACTTTGCTAGGGTCAAGAACTGGGCCAGCAGGAGACATCAAGTAGGAGCCAGTATCATTGGCCAAATAAAATCCAACCCTGGACTGGAGGCCTCATAACTCTTCCTGTTGAAGGGATGGGCAATGTCATTCTATCAGCAACCTAAGAAGCTGAGGGAATAGTAAGGAGTCATGAAGGAACACAGTAGCTTCTGCCCTCAAGATGGTCTTGAGCTATCACTGATGTTGAAATACATCAAGAGTTGCTATTCATAGGGAAGGGCTGTTATTCCATTTGCAAAATGTCTTGAGCAAGCCAGGCTCCAGCCACTAGTGGCACAATATTCATATACACAATCCTTCTATACCATTTCAGAACCTTCTCCCAAACATGTATATTGGTGCAAACATATACATCTCTGTGCCTATCAAGTCCTTAAACACATTAAAGTTAGGGTGAGTAGACACAAATATTGATGCAAAATTTTATCTGCACTAGTTTCATGAAATTTGTGCCTTAAATCTCAGGTTTCCAAATATTGTTGCATTGGAGCGCTCAGCAGCTCGAACCAGATAAGCCAATTGTAAAGAATATGGGAATATTTGGAGAACCACATAATTCCCACTCCTGCCATACACATAAAAGCCCTCCCACTGGATTTCATGAACTTATTCTTAACACATTCTTCTGTGATTCAGGGCAAGGGGGAGGCAGGAGAGAGAGAAAAAAGGATTTTCTTTTTTAAAAAAACTCTGATCCTGGATTTTCCTTTTGTAAGGAAACAAATTATTTTCTTGTCTGGTGTTCTCTCTTTCTTTGCAAACAGGATATACTTTCCTATCATCGAAGAAGCCAACAGCGCCTGGCTCCTGGCCTTTATTTGGGCTACCTGAAACTCTGCAGCTCAGTGGATCAGATAAAAGTGCTTGTGCTGCAAAAATTACCCAACATCCTGTGTCATGTTAAAATCAGAGACAACAGCAATGTCTCCAAGTAAGTACAGAATTTCTTTTTTCCTTTCTTTCCCTCCCTCTATCTCCTCTTGAGTTAGCATGCCAATGCTGCAACCACAAAATATGCGTATTTGAAAACAATTTAGACTGGACTCAGTAGAATTTACTAAGTAAAAATACTAGGGTTAAACTGTCTTCTGTTAATTTACAGACTGCTTTACAATCAGAAGTAGTCTGTTAATTTACAGGCTGCTTTACAATCAAAACTGCTATGCCAGTTTGCAAGGGTGATATATTGTCCTTATGCCCATTTCACTCATAGGAATCTAAAATGGAAAAACAGCAACTGATACAGTGCCAAACAAGGGACACATAATAGCAATCCCACTCAACATCCCAGCTCAAAGTCCAGGTTTCTAACTACAGCAGGAATAGGGGAAGTAGAGTCCACTTAGTCCATACAGCCCCTGAGCCCCCACATTTCACCCTAGACTACCTTCTCAATTTGTTTTAAATAGTTGCAAAATTGGTTGTACAATACAACATTCAAACTTCTTTCAGAAAGAATAGTCAAGATTCCCAGGTTGCAGAGCAAAGGTTTTCCAACTGGTCCCTCGTTATTTCTTCTAGCCCTGCACAAACTTGATCATTGCATATCCTCCTCCTATCCCAGCTGGACAGGTACAATCCTGATTATTGTTCTGTCATCTCATTTTTCAGCTGCTTTTAACATATCCCAGTTTCTCTCGCCTCCTCCTCCTATTATCATCTTACTTCACATGATGCAAACTGAATTCAAAGGGCAAAAGTAGTATACTTACAACTCAGTGGAGAGAAGAGGAAGGGGCAGGCAAGATCTTGCTTTTCCTTGTAGGCTCAGGCTGCAGCCTCTCCTAGCTCAGTAGCAGCAGGTGGACAGTTCTTGGTATTTATTTACAGTATTGTTTGAATCATTTATTTCCTGGCTTTAGTCCCCCAATACTGGGACTCAAGATGGCTTACAGAATTAGATGATTACAGTTATTTCCCATAAAAATAGTTCTATCTATGTTGGTGGATGGGCAATCAGATTTTCAAAGTATTTTAAAATAATTATGAAACAACTGATGCAGAAGCAACAAAATTCCTCCTGAGACAATACACCTGGCGGAATTCCACCTCTTTGATGCCTCCATAATCAAAAGGCAATAACATTGTGAATGCATATTATTGGCTTATTAAAGCTATTTTACCTGCATGACTGAGGTAAACTGACAACTGAAGAATTTATTTCCACACAATATTTCATTACTGTTGTGGTTCCAAGGCCTCTCAGTGGCCTGTTACTGTTACAGTTGGAATCGTAATATCGCAACTGTTTGCTTTCTTATTATTCAAATGTAATATTATTTTTTTAAAAAAAACAGAATGATAAAAACCACTGGCCTAAGGTTCAAGGCACACTTAAATTGTGAAGCCATATCCTTCTCATAACTATACAAGTACGTTACAGTTACACCACACAAAAAAGGATTCTGCTCCTTGCTTCTATTCATTTGGCTGCTAATTGGAGGGCTTTTGGTGCAACCTCTCCTTCTGATCTGCTGAGTTAATTAATAGCAAACCAATCTGTAACAACTGAGGTAAGCTAAGAACAAAGGGGAAGTAGATAGAGAAACTGGGACATTTTAAAAGCACATGGAAAAGTCTGATGTCAGAGAATTCACCCTAGCCATTTGGAGGATACAAGGCACATTACTACTCGGAAGCTCTGCCAACATGTGACACAGAGCAAGAGATGTTATGCTGCCCCTGGGATGGAAGTCCTCTTTGCCTCCATTTATCCAGTAACCACAGAGAACATTGTCAGGGCCTGGAAATCACAAGTAACAGTCACTTGCAATGGTGACACTTACAGAAGGGAACCACTCCACATTTTTTAAAAAAAATTGAAGACCCTTGCATCCTCTTGTGCCCATTTGGCAACTCTGACCTTCTAGCATCCAGCCCTTCACATGAATAGAAGACCTTTCCTGTTGTAGAGTCTGTTCATTTCCCCAATCCCACAAATGGACTTGAAGCACTCAGGACTTCAGAAATGGACTTTAAGCCTTTAAACCAGTGGTTCTCAACCTGTGGGTCCCCAGATGTTTTGACCTACAACTCCCAGACATCCCAGCAAGTTTACTAGCAGTTAGGATTTCTGGGAGTTGAATACCCAAACATCTGGGGACCCACAGGTTGAGAACCAGTGCTTTAAACCCACAACCTGTCTTCACTCCCATGTCTTCCTGGCCAAGCATCCCCCTTGTAGTCATCAATGCATCCCTTTTTCAGATAACTCAAGCACATTTTTAGACTGTTATATATGGTTTTAGAACATTGGAGCTTTGAAAGCTTGCATGGTGTGTTTTATGCATTTCTGTTAGCAAGCAAAGATTGGTCTTTTGTGGATTTTGTTTCATTTTGCTACATGGTTAATGTGGCTACCCATAAATACTAGCATGAGTGTTAATAGTTCCATATTTCAGAAATAATGTCATGAGTAAGAGTAAAGTTGCTTTATTGGAGGAATGGTGAATGGTTGTAGTTACTTTCAAAAGTTACTTTCAAAAGTTACTTTCAAAAGTTACTTTCAAACGTTACTTTCAAAAGTTACTTTCAAAAGTTACTTTCAAAAGTTACTTTCAAAAGTTACTTTCCATGGGCATTTTAATATGCATGAGGATAAGAATTATCCAGCTTTTATGACATTGCTTAGTCTATTCAGAAACGTTAACAGAAATTAATGCAGATGTAACAAGTAGTACTGCATGGACTGTAACAAGTTAGTTCATTTCATAGCAGCAGGGAGCTAGGAAATGGAACACATTCTTTTAAGAAGTAACTTTCCACCCCCCTTTCTGGTGAGGGCTGTGTGGATGCCAATCAAAACTACAAATGAGAGAAGATGAAAAGTGTAGGATTATTGAAAGGGCCTTCTCTTGTTTTGACACCATGGCATGCCTCCCTCCCTTGCCTTAAAATAAGGTCAACCTCCCTCAGCTGCCAAATTGTCCCGTGCCTCTTCCCCATATAATAATGGGCTAGGCTACTTTATCTACCCACAGGCTTAGATGGAAAAGAAATACATCTAGCAAAACCCAAGCAATTTTCACTGCCTATAGTCAGTGCTAGAAGTGCCTGATGAGAAAATTGAGCCCCTCTGGAAAAATGCCACTGTAGCCCAAGGCATGTGTGTTAAAAAATTATAGAAACATGGAACAGCCCACATGTCAAAGAAAGCTGAAATATTTCAAAGGCATGCATTGGGGAGGGGGGGGGAGGAGTGTTAGATCTTAGGAAAGAAGTCTTCATCTTGATGTGTACGCTCAAAGAGAATGAAATCAGAAAGCTGGCCCTTTCTTAACCACAAACAATCGGGCCTGTTATAGGTTTAGAGCATTTTACTATCTGAGAATGAAAACCTCAACAGAGCCCAAACATACATACAGTAAATTCTTCCTTGTGCTGTGAACTTTTGTTATATTTCTAATTTTAACCTCGCTCCGTATACAGAGAGGAGTGGGAATGGATCCAAAGTCTTTCTGGCTCAGAATCTATGGAAAATATGGATCATTCTGCGGAGTGCCCAACTCGTCTGTTCTTTGAGCTCCAGATGGCAATGAAAGCTCTCCTTAAACAGATCAATCTACCTCTACGACAGGTATTATGTGTCGTGACACTTACAGCCCTATTCATTCAAAATGGATGCAATGATTTGAAGGAAAACGATCTGGTTTTATATGGTCCTCCTCCTCCTCCTCCAAAGCCAACAGTCTAGAATGGGTTCAAGATCAATTTTGTTTTCCAGGAGCATGTTGTGTATTAAGGAGGTCTACATTTTGCTCTTTGTAGAATAGATACAGGAAGGCTTTAGGGCTAGTATGTCAAAGCAAATTTTCAAAATGCTGCTCTAACTACACTCTGAGCTCAAGGTGGAATCCCAGCAAATCTTCACTACAGGCATGGTTGTAATTGCCACTTTAAAAGTAAGTGGCCTCCTCTAAGTTAATATAGATTTGGCTGCTACGTGCAATGTTGTTTGAACCTGTGTTGGTTAAGCACAAGTTTGCAGTGAGTCAACCATGCAATTGTTTCAATGTGCACTCAGGTCCCTAGTCTCCAGTGTGCACAGGCATTTCATTGAGCCACTACTATCCATGCCTACAAATGCTTTGCAGTGGTACATTTTGTCAACACAGTATAAAAACAATATATATCAAGATTTAGATGCATGGTGTCACGTGACTCTTTTTCTGTGCAACTCACTTCAGCTCATGCTGAGTGAAAACAAATAGACTGAAGCAATCATGTTCAGTAATAGATGTCTCATTGTTTATACAGCCTCCTGAACCAGACACATTATCTGATGACATATGTCCATTCCATCACAGAAAAGGATTTGGAAATGTAGCCTAGATGTTGACAGAGATATCAGTCTATTGTAGATTACATTAAATGTACCAGTAAATCAGTGCACAGAGGCAAGAAAGAGCATAGTTAGTTTTCTTTTAAATGAGGATATGTCAAAACCAGGTCACAGGAAGCTGTTTATTACTGTTATTTCTCTAATTCACTATGTCTACTAGCCTTTATGCTCTTCCTGACTTCCATGCATTGATCAAATATCATGGGTGGAATCTGCATGCCTGTGAGTACAAATACAGAGTGTTTCCCTATGGGGCATAGTTTGCTCAGAGAACGCCTCCATCATGCAAGTGGACTTGTAGGGTATGTGTAGGAAAGTTGGCCATTTTGTGGAGATCAAAAATATGATCTCAAGCTTGGGTTACAACTATATTGATCCAGGGACAAGATTATAAGCTAGTTGTGGATCTCTAAGAACCTCATCACACTTTAAATCCACTTTAAACCCGGTTTCTGCCTCCTGCAGAATTCTGGGGTTTGTAGTTTAGGGAGGAGCCTTTAACAACCTCACTAAACTACAAACCCCAGAATTCTGCAGGAGGCAGGAACCAGATTCATTCTCTAGTGTGATGAGGTCCTAGGTGTTGTTGGACTGAGGGCTCATCTACTACTCATCATGTAGTTATGGAACTTCCAGGTTTTTTTTGTCATGGAACTTCCAGCCCCGTGTTAGGGGAAAGTCCGGAGATGCCCTGGAGTTCATCTGAAACTCCAGAGTATCCCATGCTTTTGGCACTTTATGGACAGCCAGACCAAGTTTGTTGTTCAGGAGGAAAAAGGGAATAGATGGAGCCCATGTCACCACCTTCACCACTGCCAGGCCGCCTAAGAGCTCCATAAGAGCTCCCTGCTGTTGTGGGCTCACCATGCTGACATTGGCAGAGGTGCAGCACTGAAGAAGAGGGGGAAGGAAGCAGCCCTGTGTCTCCTATCAGCTTCACCTAGGATTGATAAGAACTGCAAAGTGGCTTGGCGTCCACCATATCCTCTATCTTCGTTACAGCCTTTCTGATCAAACAAACCACCCCTTGGTTACACTTTCCATAGGCCAAGTTCAAATGATAAAGGCAAATGAAGATAGATTCTCAATGGTTCTTTCAAAACTATAGAACTCTTACAGCATGCTGAAATGTGCACATTTTGGCTGGAATCCTGTTGGTGATGTATGCCGACATAAAATTCTATATGCTTTAGAATTAAAATATGACCTTCTAGATACTGTATTACAACTGGCATCACCACTGTTCCCTGATCACACTCACGGTAGGTGACGTGAGATTTTTACTCTAATGTTAAGGTAACCACATGATATCCATTACTGCTTTTAAAAGTTTGTATGTAGCCCTGGGAATTGAATCATAAATATTCTAGGCAGCATTGTCTTGTACATAAAAGCCATGATCTCTCTTCAGCTAGGACAAATATGTGCATTGGCTCATCTTCTTCCATGTGTTAGTGCTGCTCTGAAATGAGCAAAGTTTTCTTTCTTTTTCCTAAGTGGCTGGAGTATTGAAATAAAAGTGCCCAAACTGATCCCACACCTTTATTTTGGATCAAAGTAGATCTAGTTCAGCCATTTGATTTTGATTTTTTTTCCAATCTAACTTGTTAAATCTCTTTCATTGCCCTATTCAGTGACAGGCCGGAGGGGGAAAGGGCCAGAGAAGGAAAGTAGGCAGCCAAAGAAGGGGGCCAGGGAGGCTGCATAGCTTTCCTAACCAGCTCCTAAATTGAAAGTTAAAGGTTTTTAATTGAATTCATTTTCTTGTTTTCACATAATTATACAATCATAATCTTGAAAAGCTCATGGAGTGTGATCGTTTTCTGGCTAATAAGAAACATAAATGTTATTTTCTGGAGGAGGGGCATGTTTTTGTGTGCACGCGTTTTAATAGGTGTGTGTGTTCTAATGGAACATTAGAGCTTTAAATCTTTATTTTATGAAGTAAAATTAACACAGAGAGAGACGGGCTCACACACACGCACATACACATTTATGTTTTATAATAAATGCCAGTCTTGGTGTTATGCAACTTTGCTCTAAAAGCTTTACACCAATGGAGGGGGGGGGGCTGTTGATATAAATACAGCGTTGTAACTCTTGCCTCCCCTTCTCTCTCCCCCCACCCCCATTTCTTCTCTGTGCGTGTCCCTCTGCAGGCTAAGCTCTTCCGTCTGTACACACAGGAGGTGTTGGAACTGGGTCACAATGTGTCCTTTCTTCTCCTGCTCCCTCCCTCAGACGACGTCTGCACTGCCCCAGGACAGAATAACCCTTACACCCCGCACTCAGGATTCCTTAACCTCCCTCTTCAGATGTTTGAACTCGGTATACTACCTTGCTTCACCTAGAAATATTAGCCCAGTTGCCTTATAATAAAAATCACAAAGTTGTATCTGTTCCCTTCCAGCTCTTGCCTCCCCCTTCTCCACCATCCCAGAGGAGAGTCAATAAATCACGTGATGATTTCTTGGCAACAGCTTTTTTCTCTCCCTTACTCTCTATCTGACTACAGACAAGAAATAGAAAGGGCATAGCTACCAGATTACAGGCTCTAGTTGTAACTTTTGCAGGTCATAAAGAGCCAGAAGTTATCTCAGCCAACAAGGAACTCCTCTACCATAGGCAGACAGAATAAGGACACACTGAAATAGAGATGTCAGGCATTGTTCAGTGGAAGTTGAAATGATTCACACTGTCTTAATGTTGCTTTTGTCTTTAAAACTCTGTAGAAAAAGACCCTCTCCACAAACTGCAGGACTGCACTTGCTATAGCCATTACCCGAACATTTAGAATTAAACACAACACCCATACCACCCACAATCTGATTTGAAGTCAGCATAATCACATATTGAAAATTTAACAAATTCCAGTTTTGAACAACAGTTCTGCACTCTTTCCAAAAGTATGAAACAAGTGACTAGTGAATATAATAGGCACATTAGAACTGTTTTGTCATATAAGATGCTGTGCTGGATGGATCATTGATTTATTTCAGTATGGGTTTGCCTAGTCCATTTCTTCTTCCTACTATGTGAGGAAATGAGAAGAGAGTTTAGTTTGGACTGCAGCTAGAATCCTCTTGGTGATATAGGCATGTCCAAGGAACTATTCAGTAGTTGCTTGCACAGTACCCTCTGTTGTATCAGCCTACTGCACTGAAAGGCTGGGACCAAGTGCAGGGTATATGAACAACATCCAGAAGAAAGAAGAAGTACCCCCCACTCAGCAAGGATATGACTTGCAGTGCGCCACCACACAATGCATGGCAGGCCCCACCCACATTCATCCCAAATTGGAAGATAAGTGCTGAAAGTCACTATGTCCTCCACTATGGGGAGGAAAGTGTAGTTTGAGTAGTTTCAATGGACTACCCACACTTTCCTCCCCATTTTGCTGTGTGATGTCAGAAAAGGCAGGGGGGCAACGCATGTTGCTGCCATTTTTGCCATCTGATGAAGGGAAGGATCTCATCACCATCATCTTCCTTTTCATCGGTAATTGCCAGCACAATGGCATGATCCAAAAGGGCTGTGTGAAGAGGTCCTTACCTTCTAGGCCTCGTTGCCCTTCAACCATCATTTACCCTAAACAGTAGGCCCAATGGGAAGGGAGGATATAAGTTTTAGTTCAAAAACATCTGGAGGGAGACAGTTATTTACCTCTGCTCTACTGATATAGATGATTAGCTGGATACAGATGATAATAATGTAGCTATAGACCAGGGATTCACAAACTGTTTTGGACTTTGTTTCCCAAAAGTCCTAGCCAGCTTGACCAACAGTCAGGAATTCTGGAAGCTGAAGTCCAAAATATCTGAAAAACCAAAGTTTGGAGAACACTGAAGATGATATCAATGTATTTTGTAAGAAGAGTAATCCCAGAATAAATTATTTTTGCCAGCTCTGCTTTCTGAGTCTTGCTCTGATATGAGGCAGGCCTTCTGATTCCTTAGCTACATCAATTGGATCCCACAGCTCTTAAGGCATGAGAGTTGTCTACTGACCAGCTATGCCTGGCTGATCTCCCACCAATAGCAACAGTGCTGTGCATTCTATGAATCACTACTATTTTGCTACTGTAGTCAAAAGGTTGTAAGTTCACTGTAGATAACACAGTTTGTGATTTTTTAAAGAATTTAATACATTTTGAAAAAAGTCCCTTCCCCCCTCTTCACCTTAAAATTAGACCAATGCAAACCTTGGGTTTCCCCAGCATATTGCTGCCTGCTCTAACTAATACTGCCTCCAAGAGTTTGGGCTGAAGCCTGTCCCAGTTCACCCTTTCCACCCTATGATTCTTTCAGTCGTACATTTGCTGAAGAAAAACCCTGGGGAAGATCATGGCTTACACTGTGGAACTTCTTTATACTCCCTCCAAATCTCTAAATGCAAGGATACTGTTCTGTTACTGCTATTAACTACATCTCCCAGATTCCTGGGTAATTCTGTGGGTTGTAGTCCCTAGCAATAACTGAAGATTTTAATGTAGCTTAGATCAGTACAGACTTCGGAGATAGCAGAGCCGTGTTGCCATCCACAATGAGGAATCAGCAGACTTTCCTCATTTGTCTCACTGCAGCAAATTGATGTTGCGGACCTTTTGCAGTACTGCAGGGAGAATTCCAATAAAAGCTCAATTTTACTTTCCCAACAAAAAGTAACTGATCTCATGCTCCAGCACCGGGGCCATTTTCTGTCTGATTTATTACACGTTTCTCCCCAGTGCCCATAAAATGGCTGTGATTCACCTCCCAAATATTGGAAGCTTCCACTCCGCATTAGTTGGTGGCTACCGGATCTATAATTGTGAAACCACAAAGGGGCTACGCTGAAGTAACATTTGTTACAGTAACATTAAGAGCCTGGTTTCCAACCACAGCAGCTAGATGCGTCAGTTCTGAAGTGAAACAGCAGCTGTAATTTTACTAATAGCGCCACAGGCATGGGGTGAGCTGTTAGACCACATGCCAATCAAAAGACTGATAAACCAGCCAACCTGGTGAAGGAGAATGGCACCATCCAGGGCACTGTCACCCTGTTAGCCTGTTAGGGATCTCACTGTAAAAAAAAACATACTGTATTAATTACAACTTTGAATTAACCCATTGCTAGAAGCAGGTTCACCCCCCCCTCCTTTTTAATCTGAAATGCTTGGGACCAGAAGCATTTGGAATATTTTTATTTTTTCAGATTTTAAAATATTTGCATACAAGAAATATTTACGGTAGAGAGTGTACTGCTCCATGCTCCAAATAAGAAATGAGTGAGAATTTCATTTCAGCACTCACTAATATTCATGACATTTAAATGCTGGCAAAAATGAAACTGATGTTATTTTCCCATCTCTAACTACCATGTGCCCTTTTCAGGGGATTTTGGGTGGAAAGAAACAATTCACAAGTGCAATACAAATATAATACCACTACCAAATAGCATATCAATATTGGGAGAATTTGGACCAAGATTGTTTTGAAATACAAAATATTTGTTGATTAGATGGCTATCTTTATGAATGTTCAAAAAGACTTTGGGACAATGTCAGCTGGTGACAGTGAGTGTCTTCTCTCTTCTGGGATCTACTCTGGACTGTAAAGGAGCTCACCAGGTTTCTGAATCTTATCACTTATATAGGTCCACCATTATGGGGAGCTCCTTTAACATTCATACTAAGAACTAGCACAGATTGAACACCTACTGCTTAGGGAAAGGCATGAAGGGGAGAGATCATAATTCTTCAGTTCCTAAAAATCTCCACTTTAAGAAAATATTATCAAGTATGTATGGATACAGCCTAAAGGTATATCTTACAAAACAACATACATGAGGTGTGTAGCTGACTCATATACTGTGCAAGATATTTGCTCATCAATAAGCATCTGCTGTACCATTAAAGCCAAAGATTTAAGATAGCATGCAAACCATATCTTGATCATTTCTCAAACTCTGAATAGTCTCAATTTAAAAATGTAGCCACTGAATTGGAAAAAAATGTGACTGGTGTGCTTTATATTTGGATTGGACTTTGCACATAAACAACTCTTCATTTCAATTAGCCAGCAGTGCTTAACATGCATTGTAAAGACATCCTTGTCTCATGCTTTTCACGCTGCCTGTTTGAGCCCCAAACTTGCATACTCCTTATATCAGGATGGGACTCGTGTAACCCTCCGATGCCCAGATGTTGTTGGATTACAACTCACAGCAGCCTAAAACAACACAATGTATTGTTGAAGGCTTTCATTGCTGGAATCTCTGAGTTGCTGCAAGTTTTCTGAGCTGTATGGCCATGTTCCAGAAGCATTCTCTCCTGATGTTTTGCCCAAATCTATGGCAGGCATCTTCACAAGTTCTGAAAATGCCTGCAATAGATGTGGGCAAAATGTCATGGACATGGCTATACAGCCCAGACAACTCTCAGCAAACAGTTGATTGTGAAGAGTGCTTGAAGCTACAGTCAAACAACAACAGGAGACCTGATGGTGTTCAGCCCTGCTTCATCTCAGCAGGATGCTCTCTGATAGAAAAGCACGCCCTGACCCTTTTAAAAGACAAAAGAGGTATAATGACTATAGTATTTCATTCTTTGCCCAGTGCATAAAACTTTATTCTTTGCTGGCAGATGCAAAGGCACACTTATTAATATGAAGGGGAGGAAACTGTACTGTGGAGAATATAACTAATATAGATTTGTAGTATTTCTATGAAGAATTGAAATACATACCAAATGAACTATTCACAGCCGTAAGAATACTATGTGTCATTCTTATTTAACACCTGTAGCAGGGTGTTAGCTTCAGCCACAAGAACTCTGTTAGACTTCAAGGCACCACAAGTCATATGGTTATTCTTGCTAAACCAGCATAATAGGGTCTATTTGGCAGGAATTTATGTTAAGTAAGATATTTGGGGGGTGGAATAAATGGTACATACTCTGGTTTCTGAGATAAATGCAAGCAATGGTGACTTATCTATACTGAGTGTCTCAGAAAGGTAAGGGTTTCCGCCTTTCTTTCGAGTCCCTCATCTAACACACTTGCTTCTGTGCTTTGTTGTCTCCGCAGTTCACTTTTGCAGTTACAAGGAGAAATTTATTAGTCTGTATTGCCGCCTTTCTGCTGTCATAGAGCTGGATTTTCTGAGCACCCAGCAGTCCCTAAGGGAAGCAATTTCAGACAGTGAAGTCGCTGCAGCTAAACAAAGACACCAGCAAGTCCTAGATTACATACAGGTAACCGTCTGTTTTCTGACTAGTCAAAGGTGATTTCTAGCAAGGGCTGTAATTTGGAACCTAAATGGAGAATTGTTGGGCAAGGCACGGCATAAAGACGTTTAGTGTCAAAATACAATTTGGGTTTTATGAAGTAGCCACTCGGCAGCTCTTCCCTCCCCCCTTCCCCTGGTCGCTCGCTCCCAGAGAATTTCATGGATAAAATCATATGACAGTTATACTGGAATTTTATAGAGACACATGTCAGTTTGGTTATAAATTCCATTCCAATATGAGCAAAAGTTGTGTGCCGCAATTGAGTCTGGATCACAGCCGTTCTTCTTTTAATGTGAAGCCTCCTGCACCTTTCCTTGTACCCATCTGTCAGTCTGCAATGAGAAACACCTCCTTAGCATGCACACACACATATTCACATACACACAAAAACAAAACCCCTCTATTTCTTTTGACAGAGGTGGCCATACCATGAGGTAATCTGAAGCGGCACTGTTAGGTAGCAAAAGCTGTGAACCGTGAAAGCCAGCAGCACAGGCAACAAATATCCACCGTGAGGCACAAACCACCAGAAACTTCTCCTGTGCAGGGCCCATTAAACCTGTAAAACTGGAACTCTTGCCCAGTCTTACACAGGAAATTGTCTCCATTTGTGATGCCCTCATATTCATTAGGTGAAGGGAGATGCTCTTTTCACAGCAATGTCTACTCAGAGCCTTTTCTTACAGGTTTAGCTTTCAAACTCGGACACAAACCTTCCTTTGCTGGCCTTGCCTTTGCATTCCCTGGATAAAACCATATGGACTAGAGGCATAAACCTTGATGTATGACCCACACTTTAGTTACTGTGTTTGAAAGTTGAAATAAGCTGATAGCCACCTGAACCTATGTGTTAATGTCTCAATGTCAAGTCATGTCAAGAACCATATAGCCAATGTTTTGTCGAAGGCTATCATGGCTGGAATTACTGGGTTGTTGTAGGTTTTTCGGGTTGTATGGCCATATTCTAGAACAGTGGTTCTCAACCTTTCTAATGCCGTGACCCCTTAATACAGTTCCTCATGTTGTGGTGACCCCCAACCATCATGTTATTTTTGTTGCTACTTCATAACTGTAATTTTGCTACTGTTGTGAATCATCATGTAAATATCTGATATGCCGGATGCATTTTCATTCACTGGACCAAATTTGGCACAAATATCCAATACTCCCACATTTGAATACTGGTGGGGTTGGGGGAGATTGATTTTGTCATTTGGGAGTTGTAGTTGCTGCCTATATATTTTATTCAACTGTATTTTAAATTGTATTTTATTGTATGTTCTGTTTCTGGCACTTTGCGGCGGGATACAAGAATAAAGTTATTATTATTTGAAACACAACAAGATGAGTCCACAGCAAACAAGATCACTCTGCTGGCTGTTGTATTGGATCACATGTAGGACACTTCCCAGGACACTTGTTGTTGTTGTTGTTATCATTATTCAAATGATATAATGCGGTGGCGCAGTGGCTTAAACCTCTGTGCCGGCAGGACTGAAGATCGACAGGTCACAGGTTCGAATCCATGGAGAGGCGGATGAGCTCTCTTTATCAGCTCCTTCAACTTCCAGAAATCCTAACAGCTGGTAAGCTGGCTGGTATTTCTGGAATTTGTAGGCTAAAACACCTGGGGACACACAGGTTGAGAACCACTGTTCCAAATCTCTGTTGCCTATATGAATGTAGCTACTTTTAAAGGTTTAATAGCATAATGCATTTGGGGAGATTGTTGCATTCCCTTGACAAAGGTTGAGCCAAACGATCTTGGCCAGAGCAGAGAATCTCTAGAGAGGACATATTTTAAACAGGTAGGCAAAACTGTGTGTACCAGTCCCCTATGTACAAGGGTCACAGTGTACTTATTTCCCTTTTCTCTCATTCCTACAATGGGCAGCTACTGAGCATATTCAATCATAAGTAAAGGTAAAAGTTGTCCCCTGACATTAAGCCCAGTCGTGTCCAACTCTGAGGGTTGGTGCTCATCTCCATTTCTAAGCCAGCATTGTCCATAGACACCTCCAAGGTCATGTGGCCGGCATGACCGCATTGAGCACCGTTACCTTCCCGCCAGAGCAGTACCTATTGATCTACTCACATTTGCATGTTTTTGAACTGCTAGGTTGGCAGAAGCTGGGACACACAGCAGGAGCTTACGCCGCTCCCCGGATTAGAACCTGCGACCTTTTGGTCAGCAAGCTCAGCAGCTCAGCAATTTAACTCTCCACACCACCAGGGGCTCCATATTCAATCATAATTGGGCTTTTTGTATAACTGACTTCAGGAAGAGTGTTTTTTAAAGCTTTCCCAGGACATGACCATGTGTTCTTCTACATGTTTCACACAACATTATTGTGCCCACACTGACTAATTGTCACCAACAAATACTCTGTTTCAGTAGGTACCTATTTTCTTTCTAGCCTTCAGTCTAAATCCTCACATCAATTTTGCAACCCACAGAGCAATTTCATAGTTCCCAAACACCGTTTATATTACATGTTGGCCACTCCAGCAAGCAAAACAGTGACTAAGAGAGATGGCAGATTTCTCCTTCTTTCAGAAAACTAAGCGTGTGTTCAAAAATGCTGGCAATAATTACAAATTGAGAAACCATGCATGTACCCTATAAAAGGTGACAAGCCATGGTGCTCGTATAACATGATTTATAGGGACAACAAGAAATTCAAAATAATGAAATTGGGGGTGGGGGTGGGAAACTAAGGATCCCTACGAAGGAGTCGGTTAGGGTCTCGACCTACATTTCATAGGTTCAGGGCTCTAGGCCTCATGACTGTCTATAACTGATGAAAATATAGCAGATTTTCTTTAAACCACAGGGTTTTGTACCAAATTATGGTGACAGTGTATTAGACTTGTCAGGTTCCTTCTCAAATTAAAAACAGCTGTTTTCTACCTTTTGGCAAAATTGTTTAAAAAGCCCCCAACAACTCAGTTCAACCACATACCACCGTCTTCAGCCTCAACTGCAAAACCACAAGAGCATTTGTATGATCCTAGATCTAAGACAGTGCTAAAGTCTCTACACAAACCAAACATTGTAAAGAGGAAAGGGAGTCCATAAAAGCTGTTCTGAAAAGAGAATCGGAGAGCAACCCAGGAGAGTTTTTAATATATATTTATAAGAGATAAGGCATCTTGTGTCCGAAACAGGCAAATCAACAGTGAGAAAATAATTATTGTGGGGTTAATGAAGAAACCTTGTCTATTTGGAGATGAATCTACAATTAAGCTAAACTTGATAATGTGTCAGAAGACACTCTTAAGGGACATAGCACATATTCGTTTGCCATGATGTTCTTTTAGTGGGGTGTAGGTAATTGAGCCAAAGGAGCCTCGTTATTTTTTCCTGATTATCAGCAGAAATAATAAGGTTAGAACTTCCTTAATTCCTGACTCTGGAACTCCTTTTTCTCACATACTTCATACTACGCATGATGCCCCTGTTAAAGCAGCTCAATTGGCTGCCGATAAGTTTCCTGTCCCAATTCAAAGAACAGGTTATAACCTATCTTCGGGACTGCATCTCCCCCTATGAATCAGCGCGGGTTCTAAGATCCACCGGGGAGGCCCTCCTCTCACTCCCACCACCGTCACAAGCATGGTTAGAGGGAAAGAGGGAGAGGGCACTCTCAGTGGTGGCCCCTGAACTTTGGAACTCCCTCCCAAGGAAGATTAGGCAAGCCCCCATGTTGTCCTCCTTTCACAGGGATTTGAAAACCTGGATGTTTCAGTTTGCATTTGAGAACACCTAGTGCCTAGTTATAAATGCCCAGTCTCTAGGTTCCCTAATAATATTTTGTTATCTGTACTTCACCCAATACCTGGCCCTATGATAAGCTGTTTGCACTATCTCATGCCAGCCCTTTTATAGCCTGGTCATGCTCATTGCACAACTGGCAATTGGGTTTGTTAAGTATTATTTTGATTGCATTTTAACGTTACTGTTTTATACACTTAGATTTTCTTGAATTGTGCTTTTATCTGGATTGTTGTATTTAATTATGCCTTTATTTTGTGTTTTTTTACTTTGCTGAATTGTTTTGTATTTATGTTTGTGCCATATGTAATGCACCCCAAGGTCCTTCAGGGAGATGGTGGCGAGGTATAAGAATAAAGTTATTATTGTATTATTATTATTATTATTAATAATAATAATAATAATAATAATAATAATAAATGAAGTAAGTTGAGGATAAAGGGGAAAAGTGGGATGAGAAATGAGAAACGGGGGTATTTCATAAGCAACTGAAAAAAGTGAGATGACACAGGATTAATTGGAATATCCCTGCCAAATCAAGAAATGTGGAGGGTTCTGGATTCTAGAGTACCATGCTGAAGGCACAACTAAATGTTAAAAGCAAAGGTAAAGGTTTCTTCTGACATTAGTCGTGCCTGACTCTAGGGGGTGGTGCTCATCTCCATTTCTAAACCACAGATGTCTCCAAGGTCATGTGGCTAGCATGACTGCATGGAGCATGGAGCTTTGTTACCTTCCTGCAGAAGCGGTACCTATTGATCTATTCACATTTGCATGTTTTCAAACTGCTAGGTTGGCAGAAGCTGGGGCTAGCAGTGGGAGCTCAGCCCTCTCCCCAGATTTGAACCGCTGACTTTTCAGTCAGCAAGTTCAGCAGCTCAGCAGTTTAACCTGCTGCAGCTACCAGATCTCCACTTGGAGATTTTGTTGATGAGATACAGTTCAGAGATACAAAATGTGCAACATGAAAGCCAAGGTGGTCATGCTTAACCTTTCTCCCAAATATGACTTTCTACCTAGAACTTGCCCTCTTTTGTTTTCCCTTCTCTGAATTTCCAAAGATGCTTCTTGACTCTTTCAAAAGCCCATCAGGAACTTCACGAGGGAAAAAGAAAGAAGAGCTACAAGAGAAAAGCTCAAGCTTTACCTATTCCTCACCTCTTCACTCCACCCCACTCCCCCATATAGCGTTTCTCCAACATAATCAATTGTTTGTGTTTTGCAACATTTCTTTGCATCTGATGTTTGGTTCCGGCTGTGACTGAGCATCCTTCCAAGAGGGGCCATTAGTTTCAACAGCAGAAGAAGCCTACATACCTTTTCAAAAGGCAGCACAATGTAGAAGACCTGGCAAACAAATCCAGATCTTAGCAAATCATTCATCAAGTCCCAAACAGAGAAAAACATATTTCTCCTCTGATTGAGATGATAAACTCACCCTACACCAGAAAGTTGATGGTTGAGGTACAGTGACAAGCAGACCTTAGAAAGCATTCATCTGAAAGCATTGCATTGTTAGAGAGCTATTGGAGGGCTTGCACTGATGAACATTAAACATTGCAAACATGTTATTAAAATTAATTCATTTATTAAGACATAGATTTATTTAATTTAAAAATAATAAGACCAGTATTTTCAGGGAAGACAGAAATACCCAACTGTTTTCTACATTTTTCTGTCATGTTTTGAATTGCCAGAATAGACACAGTGGGTTTAACCACTGAGCTGCTAAACTTGTTGACCAAAAGGTTGGATGTGAGGGCGATCTGGCTGTGACATCTGTCACCCCATTGATCGCCAGGGTTGATTCGGCTGATCTGGCTGGCTAGGCGGGTGTCCCCTTCCTCCCTCACCACTCCATGTGCGTCCCTCCCGAAGCTGCGCACTCGGTGGAAGAGGACAACATCCCAGGTAAAAGGTTGCAGGTTTGAATCCGAGGAGCAGCGTGAGCTTCCACTGTCAGCTCCAGCTTCTGCCAACCTAGCAGTTCGAAAACATGCAAATGTGAGTAGATCAATAGGTACTGCTTCAATGGGAAGGTAATAGCGCTCCATGCACTCATGCTAGCCACATGACCTTGGAGGGGTCTATAGACAATACCGGCTCTTTGGCTTAGAAATGGAGATGAGCACCACACCCCAGAGTTGGACATGACTGAACTTAATGTCAAGGGAAAACATTTACCTCACCTTAGAATTGCTTTGTATTACATTCCTTGTTGAATCTAAACACCAAGAACTTTGTTTTTCTGAGTATTATTTTCCTTCCCAAAACGTAGCACAGGTCTATCTGTCTATTTGTCACCTGACTATCTGTCTGTCTATCTATCCATCTATCTCATACTCCTTCTTATCCCTTCCCCCCTCCTTTTAGACGCACACATGTTCCAGCATACTTCTTAGTCCCTTCTGAACCTATCTGAGGAGAATAACAATTTTAAATATCATTTTATCAAATGAGGAGTTTTAATGAATTATTTCCAACTTTTGGTGACAGTTCATTTTAATGACCGGTAAAGAGACAGAACCGTATTGTTATTGTTATTCATTTCTTACCCTCCTTTCCCACAGTTTGAGGGGGAGACAGCAGCATTTCAAAATATAACATGAACCATCGGTTAAACATAAACCAGTTAAAACATCAGTTTAAAAGAACATGTAAGAGCAATGAATTTAAAACAGCCAGTACATAATTTAAAAATCATAATTTTAATATCATCTAGATAGGCCTGCCATAAAAGATAGGTCTGTATTAGTGTTTTAAATTCAAACACTGTATTCCATTGTTGAATCTCTTCTAGTAGGTCATCCTACAATCAAGGAGCAATTAAAGTCCTCTGTGTGACCATTGAGAGCCTAGGCCTGACTGGCAAAAGTAGATGTCCCTCGGAGGACCTGAGTAGGTGGGGTAGGTTATATGAGAGGAGTTGATCCCATAAGTAACCTGGATCCAAACCATGTAGGTCTTTAATGGTGATGACCAACACTTTGTACTTTTCCCAGAAACTAATTGGCAATCAGTGGGTTGATTTTAATATAGGTATAACATGTTCATGCCTAGATATGCAGTTTGGTTGCTATGTTTTTGAACTAATTGGAGTTTCTGAACTTGATACAGAGGTAGCCCAATGTACAGCACATTGCATGAATCCAGCCTTGAGGTGACCAGCACATACTCCACCATCTTTAGGTGATCCATCCAGCTCTAGGAAAGGGCGTAGCTGGCATAAGAGCCAAAGCCAGTGGTGTCATAGGGGGGTGCATGGGATGCAAATCACATGGGGAATACCATCAAAGTGGGAGAGAACAAAACAATCATCTATAATTTTTTTGCAAGTGTTACAGCAGAAAATCATTATTTTTTAAAAATAAATATATACCTGTCATTAGATCTAACTACAGAAACATTTTTTTAAACCCAGCTTACATGTACTGTATCAACACACTTATAAGGCTAAAAGTATTCTATTTACTTTTAATGTGCATGTAGTCCAGTCAGAACTGTCATTATTACCCAGTTACAACACTTTGGATCGTGTGGTTTCTTCTGCATGTACTGCATTCACACTATTGTTTTAATTGTTGGTGGGCTTTTTTTTTTTTTGACCTGCTGATTTTGTTAAACTTTGTGGTATGTTAACTAGAATACTGTGGTATAATTGGTATGGGAGGGGGTCCATGAGGGTGGCAACATGAGTTACTGCACAGATGACCCCAATCCTAATGACGCCACTGACCAAAGCTTATAATAGGTGTGACAGCTGATATCTGTGTCAAGTTTCTTTAATGACTCTCTAGGCTACAGAAATTGCTAATCCCAATGAACCTTCTCTTGTTTTAATGGTGAACTGTCCAATTGAATGTAGGCAACAAAATCAAGTTATATTTGTGTACTTGAATGCTCTCTGCACTATTTTCCTCCCTCAGCAAATTGATGAGATTTGGCGTGAAATGAGATGGATCAATGAAGCACTACAGTATGCAAGATACAAGCAGCCGGCTAGTGGCTTGCCAATAACTAAAATTGTGGACCTGTCAGAAGAACCCATACAAAAGAAGATAAGCTCAACATCCTCCCATCTTGACTGTCTTCCATCACCACCACCTTCACCTGAAACAGAAACCCACAGGAGAAAAGCTGTGAGTGGTATGTAAAAGCAAAATCTTTCTAACTTCTCCATTCTAGATAATAAGACATGAGTCATCCATTGCTTCAGATTCAGAAAATATTGACCATCATAGGCCATAGAGATATGCAGGAAGTGGGTATCTCTGTTGCAAGACTCTCCACTCAGTCCAAATCTTGTGGCTGTTGCCCAAGATGCAAAAAAAATATTTATTAGCACCAGAGGCCACCAATGACATACAGCCAGTCCCCGAGTTACAAACATCCAACTTCCAAATGGGGTGAGACAGCAGGAAGTGAGAGAAATCTATCCCTCATAAGACAAATTCAATCCTGAAAGAGTTATCATGGGGAAAAGGTGCCTCTGGTGAAGCTTTCTCACTAATCCTTGATTGCACGACAAGCCAAAATTATCACAGAGACAGAAAGTGAGCTGAAATCTTCTGAACTGGGGCACAGACAGCAAAACAAACACCATAAGGGTGTTAACCCTTCCCTCTGCTATCCAAAGATACAGAGGTGGGGGATTGGAGTTACACATTAAAATGTACCTGTTCTGACTTACATATAAATATAACTTAAGAGTAAACCTACAGAACCTATCTTGTTCGTAACTTGGGGACTGCCAATACAACACAAAAACACACTGTGTAGTGGGTAGGATGTGTATGACTGACCGTATAAAATGTTACCACTGGTGTGTGTGTGTGCTGATCTCCAGAATCAAGGTAATGAACAACATGGCTTTGTATTACATTTAGACCAATGTAATGAATGATAAATGTAATACAGAGTTTAAATTTAAGGTTTGTTCTCCTGCTCCCAGATGTTGCCAAATATCTGGAAGCCCAGTGAGAAATATTACTTGGAATTGTTGTTGGAGCACAACAGAATACAAAAGAACCAAGAGCTACACCCAAAACTGTAGATAGGTTGTAATGGCTTTGACAAGACCTTTATTGTAAACTCATTCTGCTTCATTTGAGGAATTTTACTGACTTCCAGATGATGGTATCTTCCATTTATAGTTCTACTTTATTTTCCTGCTGCTTCATTCGGCCTGAATCCTGTTAAGTAGTTCTAAACTAAAGTAGATCCATTAAAACAGTTCTTGAATAGTGAATTAAAACTTGGGTAAACAGCATTCATCAAATGAGTCTTTTATAATATAGCCTAACAATAGAATTTTGGTCTCCTTTTTTTCTTATCACAGAAAATCTGTTAAGGATGAATTAGCTGTAGGAGCCATGTGTCTCAAAGAACCCCTGTAGTAATTTCATCCTGTTGTTTTGAAAATCTGTGGGTAATCTTGTTTAATTTCATTTTGTTTTAATGTGTTTCATATCCAATGCATAATTTGCTATAGCTCTGGATAGTACGTTGAGATGGCTAATTAATCTCACTGTCAACAATTTGCATTTACTTCCAACTCTGTGTTGTCTGTCTACATTGTCCAGCCTGCAGCTATCATTATACCTTCGTCTTCTAGTTTCTTGCAACTCAGAATTCAGTGTTCCGTAGAGAAATCAAAAACATTTCAGGGAAAGAGGAGCCCATTTTCTTTCCTGTTTTGGACATCTCTCTTATCTTTTCTTCTCCCCTCCAGCTTTCTTCTTGTAATTAGATAGAAGTCAGTGCATTTGCGTAGAAGGATTTTGTTTCCCTGACACTCTTCAATTGCACCCAGGAAATCTAGTTGGAACAGCTATAGTGGGGGAAACAAGTAATGTATTTGTGTTCATGCTCATTTTGCTATACAAGCAGTCCCTGAGTTACAAACAACCGACTTACAAATGACTCATAGTTAAGAACGGGGCTGAGACAACAGGAAGTGAAAAATATCTTCTCTTCAAAAAAGAAATTCACTTGTGAATGAATTATTATGGGGACATTATTATAACACACAAAAGAAGAGGATGCTATCTTGCTTAAATGTACGGGATAGTGAATGCTATCCTCCTTGCCTTCTCCCTTTGATGGGAAACATCTTCCCAATAGACAAAGTTCACTTGACTCAGGTGACACCTCATTGGCATTTCAAAGGAAATCCACTCCTGGAACTTCCTCACACGGCTACATTGTTGCAACCATGTAAGAGTATCTCATTACAGACTGGATGCTTGGTTACAAGTAAATGTAGGTTTTTGTTAGGTGAATCTGCCATCAGTTCTGGTGTGTCCTCAGTGTGTTTACCTCACTGGAGCTTTATCTATCCTTGTTTCCTTGATAAGGCCATTTTTTCAAAATCCAACTATCACAGGCACAGAAAGTGAGCTGAAATCTTCTGAACAGGGACACAGACAGCAAGACAAACACCACAGGGGTGCTCACTTATCCCTGTGCTATCCAGAGAGAGAGAGAGAGAGAGATAGATAGATAGATAGATAGATAGATAGATAGATAGATAGATAGATAGAGTTATTCTTAAAAATGTACCTGTTCCGACTTACATACAAATTCAACTTAAAAACAAACCTACAGAACCTATCTTGTCTGTAACTTGGGAACTGCCAAGTTACAGACAAAAGGTTTAAATAAATGAATCTGATATACAGGGGATCCATTCAATTTAGTAAACTACAGGGCTTGGATTGTTAACTGAGTACAGAAACTGGGTAGGGGAAGAATTCCTACAGCATAAAATGATTAGTAAGAGATGAGATGTTGTCAGAACAAAAAGGAAAACAGCAAGGCCAGAAGCAACATCTTTCCAACCTGGTCTGTGCTGCCCCTTCTGGTGAACCATTTAGAGCTGCAGATTCAATGTTTCTCTGGACTACGATGTGTTCCGTAGTGTCATTCAAAATAATTCAGAGCCAGTTCTATGTATTTTTTGCCAAATTGTGAACCAAAAACATTCAATTGGGTATGAGTCATCATTGGAGAAATGTGTGTGGGTGCAGGCTTTGCTGCAGTAGAAGGGAAGAATCAAGGTTAGATGCTATGAACCCCCCACCCCACTCTTTATCTCTCTCATTCTCTCATTCTTCTTCTCTTGCTCTCCTTTTTTCTTTCTTACTTGCATTGCCTTCCTTGATAAGGGTGGCCTATAAGGCAGAACTCAAACATCTTGTCTCCTCTTTGGTAGCACACATCACACTTGCACAGCCAGAGCCAATCAGGAAAGCTGTTGCTGTTGCTGGAGAAGGCATGTAAGAATGAGTCAAAAAGTGCTCCAGTTAGTGAGGGAGGATGCACATGAAACTTTTTTTCCTGTCCCCACAACAACCAGTTAGGCAAGCCTGGTCCTTTTTAACAACTCACTTGGGGAACCAATGTGAACTTATTGAACTAAGTCACTAGATTATTATTATTTTTGCAGGCCCCTAAAGTATTCTCGCTCTCCTGGCAGTCTGTTAGTTTCTCCCTCCCCAGATTTGGTAGCTCTACATAAGCTCTCATGTCAAACCTTTTCTTTATCTTGTCATCAGTTAGTGTGACCATATTTGCCTGGTAACTATTACTGGGTTTGATTTATGTGTCCTAAATCCAATTGTCAGTCCCAGTGGGGCTTACATAAATACTGACTTACTAACTTCCACCACGAGAAGATCCAACCAGTCCATACTTCAGGAAATAAAGCCTGGCTGCTCATTGGAGGGAAGGATATTAGAGGCAAAGATGAAGTACTTTGGCCACATCATAAGAAGACAGGAAAGCTTAGAGATTAGAAAATGATGCTGGGGAAAATGGAAGGAAAAACAAAGAGAGGCCGGCCAAGGGCAAGATGGATGGATGGGATCCTTGAAGTGACTGGCTTGACTCTGAAGGAGCTGGGGGTAGTGACGGTTGACTGGGAGCTCTGGCATGGGCTGGTCCATGAGGTCACAAAGAGTCAGAAATGACTGAACGAATAAACAACAAACTTCCAGTTGATTCAGTGGGCTCCCTCTAGTTAGGACAAACAGCTAAACAAACAGCTACAAACAGTAAAATTTGGACTCCTGTACCTATTCTATCTATCTATCTATCTATCTATCTATCTATGCTTTGACCAATGGTCATGTACACTTACACTTACAGAAACAACACCTAGCAAACATCTGTACAAAACACTGTAGAATACAACAGTTAAAAGTAGGATAGAAATAGGATAAAATAGAGTGTGCGAGGTTGAGGTTCCCTTTGGGCTCTGGTCCTAGAGGTTTGTACCTTTTGTCGACACACCGGGTCGACACGACCGCCTCTGATCCAGCATCTCAACAAAGCAAAAATCTTACATTAAAAACAACATTTAAGATGCCATTCCAAAAAAAAAAAACACCACTATTGCATACTGGTTCTCCCTTTTTAGAGGCCTGTTTTTAGAAAGCAGCACTGAAGCATCTAATACTGGCAATTAGGGGCTTGAAGTGAATTTGGAGTGAGGTGCATAAATAGACTCACTGTTTGCTTACAATCTGGAATGTAAGTATGTTACCTGTATTTGCAAGTAAGAAAACCTAGAGAGTTGCTCTGTGGCAGCCTCTCTCTTCTCTATGAGTAAACAAAATAAATCCCAGAAAGTTAGAGCCAGTTCTAGTAATCCTTTTATCCACATAATCCTAATAACCCATTTACCTAAAAAGTTGCAGATTACCCAAAGCAAGGCCTTGGCAATAATATATGGAGCACAAGGAAAGGTATTTCCAGACTTGATCTGATCAGGAAGCTACATCTCTGAGCTGAGTTGTGAAACAGCAGAAAAGTTCATTTCTTTTTGGACATTCCAATGTCAAGAAATGTCACAAGGCCTGGGTAGTTCCACTATTTCCAGGCCTGGACTGCAGTAAATAAGCCCAGTAAACTGTGGGAATACCTACCCCTCACCCCAAGCCCTCAGACCCCTTAGAAAAATAATAAAAATTTACCCATCCTCCATTAGAAGCCTTAGAGGGCTCTCCCGGCATTCCCCAGCCGCTCTCCCGGCGTGTCATTTCTACATGCCAGGAGAGCCCTCCGAGGCTTCTAATGGAGGAAAGCAGTTTACCAGCTCCCTCAGAATGTTGGGGGAAAAAACACAGATCTATGGTATATCCAAAAAAAGGGAAATCATTAAAAAAAGTGGGGGCAGGTGGAAGAAAAACACATCTCTAAATGTATTTTAGAAAATGCATTCAAGTAGTCTCTAGAAGCTTCAAAATGTGTTCACTTAGGGTGGATCCAGACAGCCTTTTATCCCATAAACATCTATGTTAATAAAAAGTGGATGTTTCTGGGAGGCTGTCTACACCTACCCCAGAAATTGTGTGCTTTCTGGTGTAGGTGTCCAGACGGTCTCTTGGGACTAACCCAAGAAAACATCCAGAGGCCCTAGCCCCTCCCCCCAAGCCCCCAGACCCCTTAGAAAAGTAAAAAGAACTTACCCTTCTTTTTTCCTCTGCATTACTGTTCACATGTGCTCAGTAAGAGATTTGGGAGGCAGCTACTGTTTACTTTATCTATCATAGGCACCTGCTACACATGGCTAAAGTAGGACAGGTTGAAGCAGAATCCTATTATTTCCCAATTCAAACTTTTATTATGTTTTTTACTGCAGATGTTGCAACCCATCACTAAAGGTCTAAGTTTCTCCAGCTTTCCTTCTCCACCTATAAATGCGAATCCTGCTATAGACTCCTCAAGTTAGACAGCGAAAGCATTTTTAAAACTTTGATTTAAAGGAGTTTCATGGTTAGAGATTTTGTTAACAGAGGTAGGCCTATATTCAGCAGTGGGGGTTGGAGGGGTTACAATAGTATTTCCTGTCTAGAAGATAGTAGGGCACATAACGTAGGTATGCAGCCTGAAATTAGTAATCTTTTTTGTCTCATTTGTTTGCAGATTCTCAGCCTTATTCTGATGAAGAAGGTTGCTCTGAAGTGTTCCTTCCAACTGACAGTGATTATGATTCCAGTGATGCATTGAGTCCTAGAGAGCTGGATTTGGTTTATTTGTCCTCTCAGGATATCTCCCATCAGGCAGTGAGCTGTCTGAGTGGCAGTGCACCAGATGTCCTTCAAGTCCATGATATCAAACCCTGCCTAACTCCAAAACAAAACCCCAAAGTAAGCAGCACGGTAGAGGCAGATGTCGACCAGCCTACGGAATTCATGCAGAGCCTGTCAATAGGAGGTCTGTCACCGAAAAGTACAGAAAAGAATCCAGGCCTGAGGCAACCATTGAGTTTCTTAGGTAAAAAAAAGCACGGGAAACATCAGCACTACAGTTACTTCAGCAGACAGCACCGTTGGCTGCGTGTCCACAGTGAGACCCAATCCATGTCCCTCTCTGAGGGCCTGTATACACCACATCTCACCCGAGCCACAGAGTTTTCACAAGAGCCTACCTTTGGTGAACAGATAAGCATCTCTATTGATTGTCCACGCACCACTTTTTTACCTCATGCTTCAAGCCTCCCAGAAGAAGGGAAGGACAAATACGAGGAACTTAGGCCAAGCATCCACAGGATATATGTTGAACCTTTCAAGAGTATGCTCCCCAGTGAAGATGGCAAATCCTGGGCCTTGAGCACTCAGCCAGTAGGAAATGAGAATTTGCACAGCCCCACAGACCAGAGAAAGTTCTCAGAAGATCGATCCAATTCTAGCATCACTGAAGTATTCAGCAGTGATCTTTAGGAACAAGTATTGCACTGGAGAGCACCTCCACAATCCAAATGTGATTACAAGTATTCCCAACAGAGCATTTCTTCAAAACAGCCTCTACGTCCAAAGGTTCCAACTCATGTTCTCTAAGACCGTCACCATGGTTTTCTAAGACGGCACATGCAAAGGGGGTTGCAAATATGTCTGTTTGCACAATCCTTTCTAAAGTTGAACTGGGCATTAGGAACTTATATTTGATTTTAGCAGAGCAGTGAGGGACATTCTCCAGGGAATGTTTTCCATATGGGTCTTTTAAAGAAATTGAAATGTTTCCTGAAAGACCCACCACCACAAAGTTGCAGTTATTTCGTCCTCATTTATTTGTGTTCATGGCCTCTATCAGATGCTACATTGACCCATTTTTTAAAAGATTCATGTAATCATACCAATCAGACTACAAGGTATCACAAAAGATTGACAAGGATAATTCACACATGACAATGGATAATTCACTCATGACAATGATTCTCATGCTGAATTGATTTCCTTTGTCCTCCGTGATGCCATGAGATGACATGAAATAAATTCTGTCACTATGACAAGATTATTCATGCTAGAAAGAAGATCAGTCTAAAAAATAAAATGGCACCAGCACTGCAGCCAGTTAGGCCTCTAAAGAGGCTCATGATGGGGACAGGCACAGGAAGTACCTGACTTTGCACTAGAAGGTAACTTTTCTCTCTAGTACACCTGTGGTAAAAATACTCATAAGGGTACCTTCCCAAAAGACATTGAAAGAGATAGCAGGTGGTGGGGTGGGGACCTAGGAAAGAAATGCTAGACAAAATAGCCTTTAGTTTTTGTTCTGGTCTAAATTTGAATATCTATACCATGGATGTGTTTGACTTTGAATTTCTCAAGCTACAGAACCTTAAAGGGAGAAATATTGTCTGAGGACATTTCTCACCTACGGAATTAAACTGATTGCTCCCTTTCCTATGGAAGTTTTTCTCTACCACATTAGTCAATAGTTCACAAGATACCCTTGTGAGATAGAGGGATGCCGACATAGCTAAGTGACATCAAGAAAACATGATTTAGTAGCTGAAATACAAACTCTGGATCATGAGTTGGCAATCCTGTTTCCAGCAAGTCTCTCATCTCACCCTTTATATCTTATTATTATTAGGCAATGAGATTTGACCATGTATTCCCATTTTTAAAAAAAAGGAAAAAAAAAGAAGGATAACAGTGCGGGAAGCTAGAGACTTCCATGGCACCATATCAATTAATTGCCTTTGGCTCTGGATTTCACTCTGGAACTTAAAGAATCTATTAATATTGCTGAACCTTATTGCCAAAATGGCTTTAATAGTTGGGAGAGCAGATTCACTATCCCACTGATAAGCAATCCATCAACTGTCTCTAGATTGGAGAGTTTTGTTAGTACAGCCTGGAAATCATGTTGAAGACCAAGGTTTGTAGTTTTTCACAGCATGTTTTTAAGGCACGCTTCTGAATAACTGAGCCTAACCCTGTAGTTTAGTTTTAATTTCTTAGTAAATACTATGATTCCAGGTTTTGAAATGTAACCTGACCTTTTGGAATAATTTAATGTGAATTGCCCTTTGTTGACACAATTCAACAAAATTCATACACATGTTCATGTAAGGTCACAGCTTCCATGTAACCCTGCAGAAAATCCCTGTGGGTAAAGTAAAATTGTTTAAGCATGTGCATTTTTTTGCTGTAGAGGCTAGAAATCTGATCTTTAATTCATTATTACTTAGAGTTTGGATAATGAAGCAATCTATGAAGTCAACTGAAGGGTGAAATTAATCTCAATTAACTAAGTTGAAAATATAGTAACTCTGCCTGAAAATAATAGCAGTACTATTGCAGACTAACGTTTCCCAAGAAAGACAAAACAAAAGTTGATTCCTTTGACCACAAATGCACACACATACATCATGTTAGTTCTGGCATCTCTACTTAGCTAATACTATAATAACTGACAAAATACAACATTTTCATGTCATTCTAAAAATATCAAATGCATTAGTCATCCCTTGAGACTGAGGACAGTACTTTTTGAGAATGGGCAAACAGGCTTCTATAATACAGTATGACCCCCATATTCATAGAGGATACATTATAAAACACCATCACCTGTGTATACCCAAAACTATATTTGAGGCTGAAGAATAGAACTAGAAAGGACCACTAACAGTTCTGGGGGTGATATTATTTGGACCATGGGTAGGTGAAATTGCGGGTATCGAGTCCATGGATAAGGGGGTTACATTATATCACTCAGAAATAATCACAAATATTTCTCCTATAGGAGTCAACTTTTCTTCTCACATGTATTCTGGCTATATTTTCTCAGTCAACAAATTTCTTAAATTTACTTTGTTTGTCTTCATTGTAGATATAATTAAAGACAGGCATCAATCCGCCATGCACCACCCAATCAGTATTGATGACTGGATCAGTAATGATTGGGTAGTTGTTAAAATTAGCTTCCTTCGTCTTGGTGTCTTCAGCACCTTTTTAGGTATAGATTCCACCAGCCCTACACAACATGGCCAAAGATCAGGAATGTAATCCAATTGTAATCCAAAAATATCCAGACGCCACCAGGTTGGAAAACACTAATTAAAACGCATCCAAGATAAAAAGTATTTGCAAGGTTTGCTAAAGAGACTGATTTCCTTTTTTATGAGGTACAGCTGAAGCATAATCTGAAGAGTCAATGGCTAAAACAGCCACTAGGTGACATTCAGAAATATTTTACTTGAATTATAGGGACCCTCTTTGGGGTTAGGAACCACAGTTGAAGAAGCAGTGTTCTAGACAAAAGCACCCCCATGCTGCCCACCTTCTGACTACCCATACAATAATGGTAGCCTAATTTTGTACACATGTATATTCTCAGCACAGGCACCCCACACAGAAAGCTGTAAATTACTATTTCATTGCTGAAGTGTAAATATTTTAAATGGAGCCAATGAAAGACTCAAAGTGATGGGGAGGGAAGAAGGGGTATGGGGGGGAGGCTCCATGTATATAGGCAATGGAATTTTTTATCCAGAAAGTTTATGCTTATGGTATTTAACGTGAAATGTTTTGGAAAGAAATGGTGCATCTTTCTATTCCTGTGTTACACACAGAGACACAGAAATGCACTTAGTTGCTGGTCAACTCTTTTTAAACACATGGCTCATGACTGTTATGTAATATATATATATATATATATATATATATATATATATATTCAGCGCCTTAGTAACAACAAGGACGTAGTGTATTTGAAAAAAGATGGTGCACTGCCTGGAAACTTCTTCTAGCATTCTGAATTCAGAGTTTCTCCAAGGTGTTGAACTTTGCCATCAGCAAAATATATTTTTAGAACAGGCTCCTTGTGTGTTTGCATGTTGTGGTTTATAGTGGCAAAATCTAGCAAGATTTGTTTTCTTCTTGTTTTCAATCATTGCACTCTTACTCTACGAGGCAAGAAAATGGAGGCCTTCTCTTATGATGCTGTTATGTGACAAAGGTCAAGCTCCCCTGAGTTGGTGGAGTGATCGGCTCTTTTATTGGCATGTAGACTCAGCCTTTCCATTTTCAGCAGCAGCAAAAACAAAAATTGGATACTCTGTGGGGTTCCAAGAACCATATCGAGGAGCAAAGACATTTATTCTGGGCAGAGATGGAGCATTCATGCTGCCGACTGGGGTTTTTTTTAAGGGCAGGGAAATATCTAATGGGCTTTGAAATAAATCTAACATATTATAAAATGATAATACAGTATGATCCCTATGTCCATGGAGGGTACATTCCAAGACCTGCTGTTTATACTGAGACCATGGATAATAGCGGCTAATATATTTGACTATACTTTGGCCGGAAACATCATAGAATCACACTGGAGGATCTAGAAAGGACCACAAACACTCCTGGGAGTGGGTGTTTTTTGTACCATGGGTAAGAGAAACCATGGACATCAATTCCATGAATAAAAGGGTTATACTGTAGCCTATGCTGCTCTGCCTCAGCTTTTTGTCTTGTGGTGTGCTGGTACATTTTGTTGAGGCTAGAGAAAAAAGAGTCAGATGTGTACTAAAAATATTCATTCATGGGGTGAGCCAGAGTAGCAAACAGGGTGCATTATAGGATAATAATCCTTTTCTCATTATCATGCTCTGTGCTTGGTTTTGGATGAAATTGCCAAGTCAGATAAATAAATAGATATATTCCATAGATGCCAATGGTGATATTTGAAGGCCTTCGTGATTTGAACTTTTTGACGTGCTGTCATTTCCATGTCCTCGCCATGCAGATTCCCAGGGATCTGTATAGTGTCATTACTGGTATTGTTCGGATTATTGGGACTTGAGAGCAAGAGAGGAGTGGATATGAAAAGAATATTAGTACATTTTCCCAATCATCAGTGGGTTTGCCCTGTATTGCTCTTGTTGTGAGCTTTGGAGTCCTTTCTGACTTAAGGCAACCACATCATAGGGTTTTCTCAGCTAGAATTACTCATTAAAGGCTTGCCATTGTTTTCCTCTGAGGCTGAAGAAGTGTGACATGCCCATGGTCACCCAGTAAGTTTCCATGGCAAAGTGGATTTGAACCATGTTCTTCCACAACTTCATCTAATGTGCTGCCGGAATTGTGGAGATTCTGGCAGTACCCTTCAGGAGGCTTGGGGAACCTATCACCCCACTCCCTGCATAGTCCAACTCACTCAAGTTCCCATCCCATGGGAAGAGTCGACCACCCACCTTCCCCCTATAGTTCCTGGTGCAAGACAGGAAGCCTCCCGTAATACCACTATGGCGGCACGTGCCAGTTCAGCTTCCCTTTAACCACAGAGCCCTGCTGGAAGTAGCTGTGCATTGTGGAATGGGACCTGGCAAGCTCCATGTATAAAAGGAAAGCAACCAGAGCATGTTGTTGAATTCATCCCTGTTTAATAAGTTCGTAAGTGTCCTAGTCCAACAGAGAAAAAAAAATGTTTGGAAATAAAAGTTCCCAAAATATGAAAAATATTTGGAAATGCACAAAATCTTCATGTAATTATACCCATTAGAGAACAAACTGTTGAAAAATATTTCTATCCCTAAATGTTTTTGAAGAAACAGCAATGCACTTTTTTTCCAAAATAAGAAGTAGCCCTTTTAGGAAAATGGAGCACCTGCTAGTTCCCGACTGAATGGGGGTGAGAGGCAATGCTGCAGCCTTCTGAGATCCAGTCTTCCATTCCATCCCAGTTGATCAATGTCTCCTGAGTGGTCCAGGAGCCAGACAGCAGGACTGTCTTGCTCAGCCTATGGAAGGAATGCAGACATGTCAGCAGCCATCAATGGCACAATTTATTCCACTACTACGTACATTTCCTGAGCTGAACTGAGCAGTAGGGAAAGTGCTTTCCACTTTCTTTCCCTCTACCCCAAGTTTAGTTGGAGAGGATTAGACTGAGAATGGGGGGAATATCTAATAATTGCCTCACTCATTAGGCAGAGATGTTGGTAGGAAGGTGGCAGCAGCAATCCATGACCTGATCCCCTTTATTGGAAGACCCTGTCCTTATCCTCTAAACTAGTTGACTATCCACAGGTATTGGGGGAGAGGGCAACCCATCTACAGTATAAGATTTGTCTGAGATTACTCAGTTTGTCTGTATGGAATGGAGGGGCTCTACTAGAATGGAACAGTGAGACTAATATATCTTTCAAGTGTCCAAGTTTTGCAGGGACATTCCCCTAAATACCCAAAATGTACCATATCTGATTTTAGAAATAAGCAAGGTTGATTAACCCTGGTTACTACATTTATGGGAGACTTCCAATGACTACTAGGTGTCATAGGCTATATTCCAGAGGAAGGAACTGGCAAACCACCTCTGAGTATTCATTGCCCAAGAAAACCCTATGAAATTCATGAGGTTTCCACAAGTCAACAGATGCCTTGAAGGCACAGAGAGAGGGGGAGAAACAGTCAAGGATGCAAGAAGTGCACCCACAATTCTTTGAAATGTCTCAGAGGATGTCAGGACAAAATATATTGACTGTGCAATGCATCTATTATTGGATGCAAAGTGTCCTGGGCTGAAGCTGTGTATTGCTATCCAGCCTTGTTTTGTATATAGCAGTTTGGCTGTTTATTGAGTGTTCTTGTTTTTTATTGTAAATTGTTGCTATCCATGCAACTGAGTG